TAAAGCGTCGTCACTTTTGAATTCCTTAAATCGCTCAAACTACTTTATACAGGCAAAATTATCTATAATCTAAATGATAAGATGATGTTCTGAATCCCCTTACTAGGTAAGTTCACTTATTTGTTAGCCGATATACGCGTATTAATAAGCAATCAAAGTTATTCGCTAACATGTACATGACAAATTTTACAGTGAAAGGATCCTTGACTTAGTGGCTTTCTTAAAATCGCTTAACATGTTTAGCTACGTAAAATAATCTACAACTTTTCAGTCCTATTTTAACTCATTTTTATTACTATAATTTAATCTTACTTTTCTTCTTCTCTTTCAAGCAACCGCAACTATATTGACCTATTTATTTCACATTAAAAAAACGGCCATGTCTAAATCGTGTTCAATCTTACCAAGTATACGAGTATATGATATAGTAAATGATGAGGAAGACCTTTTTAACAGCACGTACTTATCAAAATTAAGTAATAACCTCTTCAACAGAGGGCTATTGTATCAGTATTCCAAATTAAATTAGTTATCAGATGAAAACTGAGAAGTGTTAACAAGGAGGATTAACAATTTGCTATGGTCTATCCTACTAACAAACTGCAACTCTCGCGATCGTTGAAATAAATTAATAGCAGAGCACATAAAGTTTTGTCGCGATCAATAGATTGATTAACCAAATAACTCAAAATTACAAACAATAGCAAGCAATGCTAATAATAGATACTGGATATAATTATGTATAATTAATCGAATAGAACCCGCATAAAATTCTATAACAATCCTTATTATTAAAGGCAAATAATATGCAAATGAATACACAACAGTATACCAACCTATTGATAAAGTTAGAACTAAACTTAATTGCATGTTGTAATAACTCCGCTGTTATAAGTGAGCATACCAAGGTTAAATCATAGCTTACAAGCGTCTCACTAGATTTTTTAACTCAAAAAAATGATAAATTGCATTCTTCTACATTGATCGCGATCGTATCACCGAAAACAGATTCAAATTTTTAAAATCTTATACCACTACTCTACTAATTATGATGGCCTTCTATTTATATACTTCACGATAACCGACCAGGATCGTACATTATAAATAATTTAATGCTGCAAGCAATACAAGGTTATATTGTTGTAACATAATTATTCTCGCAATGTTCACTTTATTTCAGTGCATTAACTATTTATCAATCGTAAAACCGATAACTCTGTATAAATTTTCTTGAAATTTTTCACCAAATCTAAACCAGTATAGATAGTAATATAATGCAATAGCGATATTTACAATGAATTTAACCTTTCAATAACGCTGTACATATTTCTAAAAGTATTTAGAACAATTTAAATTGTATTCATACAAAAAAGTATTGTAAAATGAAATAAAAAAAGGATACTATTACTCTATTATTAACAAATATGCTGTATAGAAGTAATCAATAACACGAAAAAATTTTCCTAAATATTATTACAAGCTTCCGTTATAAATTTAAACTTATGAGACAAATTCACTTTTTAAACAACGTTCAAACTAATTCTAACACCTAAAAATCAAGCAGAGTTTTAAAAAAATATATTTCATTAGCACACCATTAGAAATTCATTATGGGCTAACAATGAGATTCATATTATCGTAGGCGTTGTAATGATTATGAAACATCAATACAGGATAGAAATCCGGAATTACCTTTATGGTTCCTTGACTATTTGCTGCTACCAGCACATTAGCTCCCTACATGATAAGACGTGCATTAATTATGTTTATTAAAAAATGAATTACGGACAATAAATATATTAAACAAGAGTCCAATTTATTCGAACAAAAACCATTATAAGTACTATGTCTTCTTACTAACCCTTTTCCAACAAACAGCACTGACAAATTCATTACTGTCATCGTCTCTCGAATCTTTATCCTAAGCCATATCAAAAATAGCATCCATGAAGGTAACAGAATTACGTTTTGCGACATAAAATTACAATTTTAATGCGATACAACTTACAAAAATACTGCGTACAACATCAAATTTGAAAGATAATAACTGCTTTGAAAGCCCCTTATAATATAGGTACAAGGAATTGTTCTCACTGCCTATCTCACGAAGGAATTGATTAAATTAATTTACTTCTATTGCAATCTCCACGCAAACGGCATATGATATGAACGAGTAGATTCTATAATACCACAATTTTGTTCATAATAAATTTACCGCAAGCTATATAGTCTCCATCTGTGGCCAGGCCAACAAAATTCTTTTCGTTACTATGACCCCTAAATGTTCTAGTGCAGTATGGTACATTCAAATCCCAAAGCTTTAGCTGGCTATCGGTAGAACTAACAATCAGAAAATGGTAGTCATACTTGTCAGTTTAGAGCATTCTTGTTATAATATTAATACGAAAGTAGTATATTAACCGTTGGGACAAAATATAATTTTGGACCTCATTTAACTTACGCTGATACAATTTCATTTTCGTTAACAAAGTTGGTATAAGACACAGCCTTGCGATGGCCTTTAAAATCCGCAAGAGATTTACTAGTATTTCGCAGATCGTAATAATGGACGCAGTGATCTGTGCAATAGATATAACAATAAAATTAATCGGTAACCAAATCATATAAACTCTAATCTAAACAGACTTTAGAAACTGTCTTACCGGCTGAACCAAATGCCAAATGGTAACGGCTAACAGGACTGAACTTGACACAACAAACATTCGCCTTGGCTTCAAGAGATGCTATTGAATGCTCTAAATTGGTCGACCACAACTTCACTGTTGCATATATTAATATAATAGTGAACATGAGAAGATAATACTTAGCCTGATTTACTAGCTCAAAGAACAAATTGATTTTAATTTTAAATTCGGTATAAAATCATTAAAAAGTGTACCACTCTGTATTTTGGCTAATGACGGTGAACCTATATAGACTTTACCTTTAGCGTCATCAGAACCAGAAGCAAACAACTTAGGATCAACTTTATTAAAATCAACACACCAACATCTTTTTTCATGCTCCTAAAATTAACAGAATCAATGCATGCATTACGTACGTTGCAGTCTGTGCATAGCTCACTGTAACTATCTAGTCTAACAAAACAATTACTTCAATAACATAAGGAGTCATCAGGCCTTAAATTAACCGGAGTAAAAAGTATAACTAAAAAACCATACCTGATAGCATCTAGTTTTAACTCCGTTAAACGCATCCCATAAAGCAACAGTACCTTCGTAATCGCTGCTGGCTAGAACTTCCTTGTGATATGCACTCCAACTAATGCAACTAAATAGTAATCATATTACCAAAATTTTTCTTTAAGGAAGCATGTTTATGGGTCGATCCACTGTATTCCTAATTCAGTACATACTAACCTAATTTTCGAGCTACACGTCATTTCTGTGACAGGATAGTGAATATCAACAGCGTCTCTGATAATGCTACTATATTCAAAAATCTGAGTACAACGTATAGACACGTACTTAATAGCTGATAAGGAACAATAAATCAATTTACAGCAGTGTTACTAATGCAAGATTCTCAAAAACTCTCGTACCTTAATTTTTTTCGTTACACCGGCTATAGCAAAATAATCACAATCCCTATCAAATTCAATGCTGCAAAACAACATTATTGAATTACGTTAGTAATCACGCTGAAATAAAATTTAAGATCTTATTATTCACTAATTAAATAGTATCAATATTCCATAAAAGAAATTTCTCAACAACAAATAGTGTCAATAAAAATCTTATACCTAGATACTATGCTTGAATGATTATATAGATCGCCATAATTTAACGTAGCTAATGCTCTAAAACGATCAAACTTTGTAAATTTGGATAAATGTTCCATGAATAATTCCAAACTATCATCTTTAGAGCCAGCTCCTATAAATTTTTCGATAATGATATAATAGACATTAATAAACAATTTTTCCATTATAAATTTAATAAATAAAAGCTGCACCTGATTGCTTAATGGAAAAATAACAATCTTCCAAATCTTCATAATGAATACTTAAACGTTTTCTTCTTTCACTGATACTATGACTTACTAAATATTTGGGATTAACCTAAGATAATAAAAGTACGCAAATTACTAGCAAAAAATTCAAAACTGAACATCATCGCTAAGACAGTTTCATATATTAGCCTAAAGTTGATTACATACATATTTGCTGCCATTAAATCCATCTTGTCTTTGCAAAGGTAAATCTGTTTCTTCCCTAAGATTTTAAAAAATAGTTTTATAATACCCTCTATCTACAATCTTAGAATAATTTTAAAATAGAAAGGTTTATAAAAATATAACTTTACCTAAATTCAATATTTACACTTGTACTAGCACCTGCATTTACAGTTGAATTTAAATTATTGCTAGTCGCTGCAACTCCAACGTTACCATTGAAAGCAGGAGAGGTTGAAGCGGTCGGAAATTGGACAAGATTCTCCTAGAAGAATAGAAAATGATTAACTATTCTAGATATCAGGAATGCTATATTTAATACATGTGCTAACCTCCACTACTTTTAAATCATTCGATAGTAAATCCAGCTTTGTTTTTAAATCATTTAGTTGCTACAATACAAGAAAGGCAACAACAGATATTAATAACTACAAACTCAAATTTAGAACGACTTGATTCGAATAAATGCAATGACAGATACCTCTTCCTTATTTTTCCTCGATTGTAATAGAAACTCCTTCAGCAATTGTAGGCGATTGCTTTTACTGTTCTAATTATTAACAGTACAAGAGCAATTACTAGAGGACTATCAGCAATATATTTACCACGGAACTAACATAGCAATGGCAAAGATTTCATCCATAACAAACATCCTATATAACTAAGACCATACATGCTTTCCATAGTGCACTTACCAATTCCAGTTGTTGTTTCTTTTCCGATAATGATTCCAGTAGGTAATTAATATCTACGAACAATTACGAGTAAAAAATCAACAGATTTGTACGTCATAATGCCTTACGCATAGAATGATATTTTTGTAGTAATTGAAATACTTCTTTACCAGATAAAACCATATCATCGTTGGATTTACTTGAGAGGATGTCCGCAACATCTAAGCGATTACCCTTTAATATTTATACAATGACGTGTTAGATCAACAAATGCCAAGTTCAAAATATCAGATCTTAATTTTATTACTGAAAGTTAATTTTATTGATGTGTTATCATTAATTAAGTGTACATCGTAGTTTAACATTTGCAAGGCAAAACCTACATATCAATTCCTTTACGACAGGTTATCATTACTTTCTAGTAAAAGAGAATACGTTAAACACGAATAATATTGGCGGCTTTACTTACTGACGATTCACACTTGTTGGCAACATCTAACCTTCTCTTATGTTTAATAATCAATTCATTTACTATGTACAAAAAAAACAAGTTTAACCACTTGCATCTAAAATACTAAAATTCTATAGAAAATCGTATAAGGATGTATCGGATAATATAAACTTAAGATTTTTACACAATACAAAAATTCATAATAAGGCATACACCCCGGTTAGATATATGATATATCATTTAATATCCTCGTAAATTTAGTAGCATTTTATTGTTAAGCCCAATTTAATTTTATCAATTTGATCCTCCTACAGTATATTCATCAACAGCCAACTTGATTGTTAATTAATTTTAATAGATAAATTCCATACTACTTACATGTTATATTTGGAAAAATAGGATCCACTTTATCAGTGATTTGAAAGTTGCATTTCGGACATTTACTATTTTCATCTAAACTTCTTCGAATACACTCGTAGCTAATTTAATGAAGTAGTATGGTGAATTATATGCAATAATTACAACTATGTCAAGCATTAAAATCTTTCAAAAGTGAATTCCTGTTTTATCATTACGAAATAAGGTTCCTAGCTACCACTTTGAATAAAAGTATATTGCATAATAGTATGGCAACGAAATTACTAACTGTCAGTAAGAATGTCTTAAAGTCTTAAGCCTTGCAGTGAGCATACGCTGTCCGTAATTTGACAGAGCAGGTTAATAATGAAGGTGAGTAGTACGTAGTAGTAATATTGCAAATAGTTTATAGGGTTACAATAAAAATTATACTTTAATGTCAATTCAAGATAAGAAATTACTGGCAATACCAAAAGCTATGGCCACATTTTGTCATGTAAGCTTCTTCGATGACACCAAAACATATAGGACTATTCATAGATAATAAGAAATAAGAAATTAGCGACTTAGAGGGAAAATTTAACACCGTCACTAATAAAATTAGTCGGGACTGTCTTTTACCGCAATCAACTGCACACAGGATATAGATAGAACAATAAAACGAAATACCTTTAAAATGACTACGTTTACGAATAGTTCGTAAATTATAGTATCTGATCTGTACCTTATTTACCATTAGTGATACTATTCGATTTCAAACATGTTCAAGTGATGAACTAATCACAAACAATAGCTAAATTAGACATTATAGTATTATGTCAGGTTCTCAATATCGACAGTAAAATACATTCCAGTTAGAATCAGTTCAAAATGATATTGCTTTGACAGTAATCAATAACCCAAATTTACTAACGTGATGATTGCTATCATCTACGCGTTGACTAGTATAACCTTTCAAAATATAAATTTACGCTCTTAATATTCATCGTTTCCTGATGCATACGTTTATAAATAAACTAACGGTATATCATGATCGGTTTCTCGTCATCAAGAATACGGTAGTAATGTCATGAAATGTGTTTAGGGCGCATCATGAGTATTTTAACACATATCATGATATCATTTTAAATCAGGTCGTAAATTGACAATAGTTACCAGATATAGTCGTTATTCCGATCGTTATACGTATCCGAAATTCCATCATCAATTGGAGTTAAAGGACGTTTACGATTTAACCGGCGACTATTCCCATTACCGTTGTTACCATTGCTATTTCTTGCACCCAGTGAAGTTGCCATGTCCCGGTTAACTGGTTAGGAGCGGATAGAATGGCTCAGGCTGGCCGCTATTTGATTGCTTATTGAATAATGCCAATAAAGTAAGTAACAGTATCCAACCTAGTGAGCAAAATAATACGTTTTACGTCGAATTCATTCTTAATAGTACAGTACATACGCATACAGTATAATGAACAACATTATTTTATTTTCTAAGTAATATGTATCATTGTTTACAGGCCAGTGCACATGTTTGTAATGTGATGTAAAAATATACTTATAATGTAGTTCTATATCCAATCCCAAAATAATCAAAATAATGATAACAGGCAAAATATTATTTTATCGAAAGCGTAAGGAAAATTTAAAGCTCAAACTAAATCAGCCTACTCTTACGTTTATGTAATCGTATGTGGCTGCTTAACTAAGATACGAGTATGATGAATGACAAGTGCACCATTAACAATATCATTCGCCTCTTACACAGAGTTGCTCTGAACAGCAAGTGGAAACTATTGCATGATCGCGACAGCAATCGATGGATGAAACTAACACAAATTCAATGGTTCAGCAAGAAGGATACAATGTTACCTACCAATACGACAGCGATGGAAGGATTCAATTCCGATCGATGACGTTCCAAAGGACAAGTTCAAAAAATGTAAGGCAGTGCTGCGGGTGGTAATTCACAATTTAATTTGTGCAATTTTTATCTAGTAAATTTTACCCAAATTGGACAATATCTTTATTTAACCTTGTCGTCGATCAATCCTCAACAGCTAATTAATTAATGTGTGTTGTTTTTATTTTGTATTTGGCACTGTCACCATCACATACTATGACGAAATGAAGCAATTGCATCCATATTGGCGGACAAGTGGAATATATTCAAGATTATATTATCCAATTTTCGAATCGACGTTAACTTTTAAATTGGATGAATGTAATTCTTAGATAACGATGACTGGAAGCAATCGATCATCTGGTATAGAGAAGAAATGAGGGAGCCCAAAACGAGCAATTATCAACCAGAGATGGATGATACCATGGATAATTTGCCGGTAATCTCGCAGATCTATCCTGGTGATCGCTGGATGAAGATCCTTTCTGGAAAGTTGGAACACTTGAACAGTTGCAATTACGGTAGCCAGTGCTTGCTGCAAAACAAGTAAATAAAGACACTTACTTAAATGACGCTACTGCGCAGTGTCATGAGTATGCTCAATAGTGGTATGGTTGTTACAGTCGGGCGCCAAGTACTGTACACTGTAGAGTATTCGTTTTTGACGTGTGATGGCTGACGCTAATGCTCGGGTGACACAGTAGTGAGTGTAGCGCTGTCTGAGTGACGATGACACTTTTGCCCCTAGAGATGCACAATACAGTCATACGGTACTAGGCTTTATTATCGACGACTGGCTTTCTTCTGGTACTCTACGACTTTATCTTACAATACGGGTCTTCACGTGGTGTATCAAGCATTCTCGTCACAATGGTTCACTCTAAATACCAACGTCAGATTCGTCAGAGTCACCCCACAGAAAACGATACAACTGCACATCATCATCACCCACCATCAAGCCCAGCGTTGTTCACAATTCAATGTTGAATGTTATGTTAAAATGGCCTAATCAAAATGTACAGAATTGCTAAATCCACCTAATGTATATTTATAATATACTGACATACTGTACATTATTGTGTGTTATAACATGGACCTCGGCAGGTTTATGATTGCACTGTGAAGAAAAAGAGGAAACATTTCCATTCACTTTAGCTGCACAACCTTATGAATTGAGCGAGAGGCGAGCTTAGCCAAGATATACCCTTGTATGCTGTACAATTAATTAATTATTTAAAAGGTTTCCATCCTTTTAAGCTAACAGTAAAATACAGTCGCTATGATAACATGTTCTCAGAGTCTACAGTATGGTATCTACACTTACGAGCTAGTTGTACGGAATTGCAATATTCATGAATTAATTATACAGTAGTAAGATTGCTTAAGATAACATCAATGGCGATGAATGAAACTGTAACGAAATACTACGTTGCCAATTGAGAAGAAAGCTATAAGTATAAACCAGCGGTAGGACTCAGTGTCAAAAATAATGCGAAACTCCTAATTTTGCAACATGGTGCAGAGTGACTTTCCGAAATGTTCATCAATCTTTCAAATTGAAATATTCTCAGCTCGAGTTGATACCTACTGCACTGCAGCTACTCAACGTTAATTCCACTTCTGCATGAAAAGTTCCCTATGCTATACCATCTACTATACCCTAAGCTACAAAGTAAACATTTAATGCTGTAATAATGGGCTTTGACTACCATGTCTATCCTTGTCTAATATCGAAACGTAGCATTACAACCACATGGCAAGCACAATGATATAAAGCTTTTTAAAACTTTTGAATCTACTCCTTTACTCCATCTACTATACTACGCGTTTTGAGCTTTCAATTTCAGTCGTACAATACCAACGTAAAATAGATCATGTAGAAATACCTATCTTACCAGTTATACATGTAACACTATAACACTGAACATTCCATACCTCAGAAATCATTAAGTTAATCAACTTATTTTTAGCCTATCGGTAACAATGATACGATATTCTTACATCTCAACAAACTGTAATACGTGCTGTATATTCAATGATAACTCAGCGAATTCAAACCCTAGAATATTCCATTTTATTTCCTTGCCATACGTGGGCATATCCTACTCGGTGATATACACGTAAATACTGTACAATCTCCTTAAAATGCAATCGATCAATGTAACACAAGGAAATATATATTCAAATAATAATATAATAATAAATTAAAAATTTAGGGCACGCTGAATCGACTACCAGAAAGTAGCGTTTATGTTTATCACTTCATAACACCCAAATTGCGTTCTTTAATATAGAAATTTCTGTACTTCTATTTTTCACGATATGAAATTACATTTGTCCAAGACATGAAACTCGAATCAAATTACGATTATTAACTTACTCTGTACGGCGTAGATTACTTAGACAAATGTCTTGGTACATCAGCAATTAATAATGCAACTTGGTAGTTGTAAACTTATCATAATAGTGCTTATATCAGCCTGTAATAATTTTTGCTAAATTAATAAAAACCGCCACCTCAAAGCTATCAGCATCCTTTATTAATCACGTAATGCTACAGTATCCTCGTTCCTTTAGCGAACTCATTTACTTGTTTGAAAGAAACCAATCATAAAATCTTGTTCCGATGTTTCACTTGCGTTGTATTGAAAGAAATTACATGTATAGTCCCATAAAATTGCAAAATAGTTAATAATTGTCCAGAAAAAGCTACGAATTAGTGCAGTATAGAACCAACTGAGAACAGAGAGGAAAATTTGACGAAAAAATGGAACTACAGCAATGACAACAGTTGAAATAACTGTAATAAATATCTTTTGCATTAATCGATTTCTTTGGGCTATGGCTTCCTTTATTTTTACCAGGTGTTCAATTCTTTCAAACTTTTCCGTGCACTCTCGTAGCTGCTCCTTGATATCATCAAATTTTGTATTCAACCGGCACATATCATCAATAAATTTGTCACTTGAGGTCAGTTCTTCCAATATTTCGGTTTCTGCTTCGTTTAATTCGCCTTCCATGATAAATTTTTAAGCTTTCTTATCTCTACCTTTGGATTATAAAAATTATGAAGAGACTTAGCTTTTAAATTATAAAATGGCATAAAAATTCCCAATCCAAAAATCCTAGTTATTAATTAAGTAAGCTATTATTCAATCATTCCTTAAAGGGTTAAGGCGAAAATATTATCCTATATATAGAAAATAATTAAACATTTTAATGATCGCCTACAAGATCAAAAGTTTGCGCTCATTTGTGCCATGACCGTACGAATATTTGAAACAGGGATTATATTGCTTATACCTACAGTAAGCAATCAATTATTTCCTATCAAGTTTATTCATATATACATATAGTAACTATTATAAAAATGTATTATAAGCGTAAATACGGTACATTTAAGTCTGCTCTGCACGATACGAAAACACACTAAAACATTAACACTGTGCGAAAGCCATGTACAAGTGCTAGTGATCAGCACGATATTACTCTCTACACTAGTACAATACTACGTCCAATATAAACGGAATAATGTGAGATATTTATCCATCCTGTGGAGATATACATGTCATAACTGTAAGTAAGTTTAGTTCAATATAGTAGTATGGTAAACTTCAGTCTAAACATTATCAAAAACTACTAGTAAATGTTAATAGTTTTCGAATTTCTAGGATCTTTAAATTTCTTCTAATGCGATTGATTAGTTATTGAATTAGTATCATTTAAGTACAACCAAATAGCGCTGAAATTGATGAGATTTTAGTTAAAAAATTCACGTTACTGTCAAGTTATAAACAAATGCTATTTAATTAATCTCAGAAGATTACTGTAAACGGTTACTACGTATTTCATGTACATGTTATGGCCTAATTCCCGAAGCATCGTCAATCCTAGAATTGACTCAACTCTACCATTTTTTTAATAAAAATAAACCTAAACAAGCTTTACCATATATAGTATAAATATAAAGTTTACTAAATCTACCTACTGATCTTTAGCAATATTACGTTAATATAGATATCAAAAAATTAGTAACCCTATTAACTTTGCAATATTGTATCATCCTAGAAATTGAATGTATTCAGCAGGAACAAAAGTCAACAAAATAAAATTATACTTCAGATACCGATGCTGTACAATGCTTACGAAAGAATGCATTATTATATTTTTAATACTAAAATTCCTCAAAATTTGTAGCCAAGCTACATTTGAGAAGAACAATCCAGAAAGGGTTATACCATTCATGCTTGGAACTGAACATTATGCTATTTTCAAAATACTAGAGTGGAAGATAACATTATTGATTAAAGCTCTTATTAAAGATCTTTAGGATCCTATTTTTGCAGGCTCTATGGCTATGTAAAATAGTATTGACCATGGCCCTTATATATGGTACTATTCTAATTTTTTGATTAAAGTTATTTAAGTTATTATTGTCATTCTTATGATCTCATGCCAAAAGATAAAACCTTAAAATATTACGGCATGCGGTTGTTGCGTAAGATACTAGTATAACATGCAGTGCTTGCTATGTAATGATCAATAAATGGCAATTCAATTGATATATTGGCTACTATCCCCACAGGCAATATTATCTCGATTTAGTGTAAGAGGAAGTGTAAAATTCATAACTTGAGACGCCGTACGTCATTATACTTACCGTATATCGCCAAGAACAAGTGCAAAGTACCTTGTTTAGCGGTAAAGGTATAAAGTATACATAATAATGAGTTGAGGGTATACTTCTATTAACAAAAGCCTATATTACGAAGCATGATTGAATGGACACAGCATGAAATTTTTCTTTATCATAAGAGTGTTAGAAGTGAAATTCAGTTGACATCAGACAAATTATGCCACTACGATGACTTAATCTACGGAATCACAAGCAAATTTTCATTTAAGAAGAAATTTAAAATCATAATAATCTCATTATGTATAATTGCATCAAAGAAACAACATGAAATTCACAGCTGTTAAGTCAAATAGTTGTTGGTAGTAAGTAATGCAGCAAAAGAAGACTTAAAGCTGTTATTAGCAATGATAATAAATTTATATTTTCATGTTGTTTGATAATAACGCGAAATTATCGCAACGATAGACAAATACGATTTGAAACAGCTTACCAACTTAGTTGTTTCAACACCTCACCAGATGAAGGCCGAGAAAAAGGTATTTGAAATGAAAACAGTTGAGGATGTCTTCGTTTCACTATTCTGACTGTTATAATAAAGCTAACTTTAACAGCTGAAAAGTTTAGTCCTATAAGTGTTACAGTTTTAGATGTAATATAGCATCGCTGGTCGGAAATCACAACAAAAATTTTGTGTCTTGCATTCAGTAAAATGCCAAATTTATAGTAATTGTGTCTTAGACACGAACCATCGATACAATCATGATGCATTTAAAACTATGAAATAGAAAAGTAATTTAGAATATACGATAAAGATTGAATTGGTTGGCTCTTTAAGATAATAAACTATGATAACTTTAGTATAGGAGCTACAGCAGGTGCTAATAAGACTATAAATTATATGACAATCTAATCAACAGAATTTACTAGTCCTCATTAATTATAAAGGTTAAAACAATAAATATAGCCTTTTTACCGATGGAATAACAATAAACTTCTAAAAAACTATTATAAGCTAGTCTGTCGACTTTTAGTTAGTCCTATTGATTGATGACGTTAATCCATTACTGGTTAAAGACATTCTGCTAACAACGGTGTTTGAATAAATAATTCTTTATGACGTTATTGTTCTAAAATATCAAAGAGTTTTCTGGAAATTAAGGATGTAGCTTAGAAAAGAAAACGATATTTCACAATGACGTTTGAAATACGAAAAAATGACTATTTAGTGAAATATAGAGCGATGACGATTTTTTTGCGGATCTGTCGTAGAAAAATTCGACTTACTACTGATATTGTTTGATCTAATTGATTTTATTCACTTTTTCACTCGTTATTTTCTTTAATGATGGAATAGAGAGGTATCTTGCACTACATTTTTTCTTTCTTTTATCGGTAATTTTGACTTACATACTTAATTAAAAGAACACTTAAACTAGATTTCGCAATTTTTTTAAGACCGAAGATTCGTCATTGGACGAAAGATCACAATAATATATAAGTGAGGATATTCAAGAAAAACTAAGAGATGTTAAAGTTAAGTTTTATTAGCCGAGGAGAAATAGAATTCTAAACATAAGTCAAAAGCAGTCTACTCTTATCATATCAATGGGAATAATTTTATGACAAAATTCCTTTAAAGTTTTGTTTTTAATTGTCTCATAACTGAAAATATCCGATAACTTCAGTATGATATAAAATGTAGGTTATAATTATTATGTTGATTGCCTTTCGAAAGTTGATAAAACATGAAGCACCTCCCAGTCAACATATCTTTTCTTTAATATAAATTTCTATGGCTCTTATCATGCTCATGCTGTCTATATTACAAAGGCACACAGTTTTATTTAGAAGCTTAAGATACAAATATTTTCGGGAAAACCGAATATGATTTTTAGCCATAGCAGCTACTAGTACCTATTAAAATCTGTGATCGTTACTGGATTGAATGATATGAATTATTTACCGAAGAAGCTTAGATATGTTATATAACTATTTTTCCGTTAATAATAGCGAGAATAATGAAAGTTATGGTATATTGGGTTATAATATTGCAGTATATATGGTATTTACAGTGGGTTTTACCGAAATCATTTGCACTTTAGTCTATTCAGCCATTTTATGCCCGAAAAAAACAATCGTCTTATGAACTTTTTATCATACTGTGCCTTCATCAATGCTATCATACGTACACTATAATACCTTCAAGTATAGTAAATTTACTGGCCCATAATGCTCTAGAACAAACTTTGTAATTTCACTAAGTATGCGAATTGTCTACATTACTTCTATGTAGTATTAAATATTTTGTTAGTACAGATCATTTTGTCTTCACAGAACATAACACATACAGTAGTATAATGTTTACTGTTATTACTTAACGCTATCTTCTACTTCTACATTACTAATACACTATTATTATTAGGCTCTTATGCACCTATATGATTTAGGAATAAGAGGAATATAGTAAAGGTAATTTTGTGAATGATAATTACAATGATATCATTTTAATTAATTAAAACTATCGCAGGTATAGTGAGTAGAAACGGAACTTGCTCATTTGGAACAAATAGCTTTACCGTATTATTAGGCCGACTATTAGGTATATATGTACGCATAATATAATCGTATATAGGCGTATATTAATTATAATTATATAATCAAAGATATTGTAACATCAGATATTACATAGTCAGAGCTAGAACATACTGTACACAACATTTTAGGGGAAAAGTTTGTGGACTTATACTCGTTGAAGTGAAAAATATAAATGTGAAATATTGTAGGCTTTATAATTACGATTCACTCAACTTTAGGACGAACTGGCCTCGCATTGAAGTAAAAAAGAATTAACAATCGTCGGTAGATATCGAAATGTGGTATGAGCTATTGGAGAAAAGTCTATCACTCACTAAACGCGCTTTAAAAACTAATACCGAATTGAAAGAGTGACTAATCAATATCATTCATTGATTGCCACCGTCGTATATTAAATTTGTCAATTTCGTTGGTAATTAATTTATTTACCATCAATTTTTCTTAGTGTACTCTGAAATCTTCGCCTTTTAGTTAAGTTATAGGTCTAATATACTGACATACTGAGTTATATGGACTTTGTACACTGTACAGTCAAGGACATACTGCATCATCTTATGCATTTTAAAGACCCGCAATCCACTCAGTTTTGGGAGTTTGACACTCCTGCTCTGAAATGAAATGTAAATGTCGCTTATTATTCGCATTACGACTGTATGATCAAGGATTAATCATCGCACACCTTTGAGAGCCGTAATTCACTCGGCCGTTGGGGTTTAACTATTCTTCCTTTGAAATGAAAATGCCAATCTCGCCTATTATTCGTAATACTACTGTATATTGTAGTCAAGGATATATCATCTCATGTCTTTGAGAACCCTAATTCATCCAGTTTTAGTGATTCAATTATTTCTAGTTTGAAAATGCAAATGCAAATATTACTTACTGTATTGTTCGTATTACGACTGTACAGTACAATCAAGGACATATCATCTTATGCCTTAGAAGAGGTGTAATTTACTCAGTTGTGAACCCCAACTATTCCTGTTTCGAAATAAAAATGCAAATATCACCTGCTATTTGCAGTACGACTGCATACCGGTACTGTATTCAAGGATAGAACGTCTCTTGCCTTTGAGAGGCGTAATTCACCCAATTTTAGGGGTTCAACTATTCCCAATTTGTAATGAAAATGCGAATGCCACGCGTTATTCGGATTGCAACTGTATCGTCAACGATATATCATTTGGTGCCTTTGAGAGAGGCAATTTACTCAGTTTTGGGATTCAATTATTCCTACTTTAAAATCAAAATGCAAATGTCGCTCGTAATAATTTAATTATTCGTATGACGACTGTACTTGGACGTAGCCATAGGCAAAGATACGCGTATGCCACCTCACGCCTTTGAGAGGTGTAATTCACCCACTTTGGACTTCAGCCGTGGCTATTTAAAACACCATTGTCCATGTCACCTATTGATCGTATGACGATAATATTACGTTGAAGCGAAAAGCGATCGTCTCTTACCTAGAAAATTCACCCACTATTCCAAGAACGATACGCAGGATGGCCTTCAAGCACACAGATAAATCTTTCACTGACAAAAAAAAGTCATTTCACTGAAAGCTTTCTTTAATAAATTAGTCAACTTTTCTGATAGTTAATTCTGGAACTCTTAAATAAATACGTTTTAAAAATTTCCTTGTAGAATAAATTAGCCAACTTTTTTGAGATAGCTTTATGTTCAATGTGCTTTGAAAATCTTTATCTTTTAGCAGGTAATGTCTTCAAAATGATAGCTACAGTTTTATAGTTCTCTAACCACTTTGGATATAAGTGTTAAACTATTTAGTTTCTATGAGATGTTCCAACATTGAGTATTTCCAGCGATCAACACAATAAATATATGATAAAGAGAATTGAGAGTCAAATCTTTAAATTAATTAAACTCTTGGAGAAGATGTTTTAGAAAGTGTCATTGGTATTGTAAGTTATGCTTTTCATTGATTTTTTTTAGTAATAGAATTGAATAAACTTACTCAAGTCAAGTTATCTTTTGCAGCAACTTGTTGGATAGAGAAACTCCTGTAGGCGTATAACTTACCGTACGAAAAAACTTTAGAAAAGTATGTCATTTAGCTAGTTTCTGAGCATTAGTCAAATTACGAAAGAATTACATATATTGCTGTTATTACTTTTTCAAAATGGCACCTATTAGAAGATAGTAGAATAGCATTTAAATAGATAGAAAGTACGGATAAATTATAACAGCAAATATTCAATGAATGAAAATATTTGTATTAGATGAACCCCATATACTTACTTGTAGCATGATGATGGATGTACTTGTAGATTGCATCCGTGAGCATTTAACTTAAGTTAAAATAGAGAAGGTTAAATCAGCTACTAAAGCGTCTATTTATGACCATAGGAAAGTTTTTAAGTACATCACTGTGTTACGATATATAAGGATTTATGGCGAAAATTTCGAACCTCATCAACTAGAGCGACCTTAGCGAATTGGAAAGACCATAGCAAAAATAAAAGAGGTATTACATTTAATTAACGTCCGATTTATCTTGTATAATTAAAGTTGTAAAGAAATTTCTTTTTAACTTTTGACCATAAGCAAAGAATGCATCGATCATTGGAGCAGAACTCACCGGGTAATCATGGTCCAGATGGCCATTTATCGTTTAACTTACAGCAAACTGACCCACAGAATACTTTTGCAATAGCATCGAAGATAAGTCTGGTAAGAATAAATTGATTTTAAAAATAATGACAAAGTTATTGGACTAGCCTGTCTTGATACCATTAACTTGTCTATCACAGGCATTAGCAATTCTGCGTACGAAACCTGCGGGCATTTCTGCGTCTGATTTTACGCTGCAAATCTGTCGCTATTACAAAACTAAAGAAAACTGGAAAAACCAGGTCGGAAAATTTGCTTCATTGATATCTAAAGATTGATATATTGTACGGTACACCAGGGTCGTGCTTTAGATTTTGTCGAGATAATCGATAGAATTTGTCCTCTATTTTGATACAAAAAGGACTATTGTATCAGCGATATGACTCTAATGTAGTACGTGTACTGTACATCTGCCTAGATCGAAAGTTTGCAAATACAAGCTATGTCTTATCAGCAAGAAATATTGCAAACATGGAATCAGGAACACAGTCAGGAAACAGAAACAGATACTAGTGAGGAAGTATGTATATATCAACGTTATCCATCAAACACTGCTGACCACAGCGATGTAACATATGATGAATCCAAGATACAAAACTATATCTCCTTTTTACAAACTAGTACGGTAACATCATTGATATAAGTAGTAAAATAAATCTAAATTCAATATAATACAATCGTCGTATAGAAATAAATGCTAAAACTTGTTAACACATGTTATTCAAAAAACCTAGTCATTACGGCAAGTTCGATTGTTTGCACCCCTGGAATTGATTCCTATATAGTGTCCAAATACTCAGCTATTCTCTGTAACATAGGAAATGCCGTACAAGGTATCTATCTCTATAAAACAATCATATGCAGCTTCAGGGCCATCATCTTATGTGCCCGTGTTTGCATTAATAATTACCCCCCCCCCCAAAAAAAAAATCAAGAAGTAGTTTCATGATTAATCGTGTTATTGCACTATACCCCTATTATGCTTGCACGCAGCTAGGTACCATACCAATACGATAATGCTTTACTGTTAAGCATTAAGCTAACGACCGATATCTGAAAAATTCTTTGGGCTTTTAGGTATAACTGATGTGATCAAAGAAAGCGAGTTTGTTTTGCCTGTAAATCTTGTCAAAAGAGCTATAGATAATATAATCAAAGGTTTTACTTTAATTTTATGAAATCTTTATAATAAATTTATATTCTGAGTAATTATTTCTATAAAAAAAACTCACGAAATGCTTTATTTTGGATCGCTTCTTTGATCAGTGTTAAACGAAAGTAATGATGCGATTGTGGACAAGAACGATGTCTTGGCGAAGTTAACTTCACTCGCTAACACCTTTTTCCAACGTTTAAAGGATACAAGTAAAATGGGAATTAAATGCAATAATACAGAATCATACATCGAAATTTTAGTGACTATGAACGAAATACCTGACGTTAGGATTGCTGTATTATCTCAGCTCTTAGAATATACCTTAGAATTTTCTCGTTATTTGCAAGAATCAGGTGAGACAAACTTTAAAATAGTGCTTGTTTCGAATAGCTTGATAACTAGATACTTTTGATATTGCTTCGCGTATTCGATAATAAATTTGTCATATACTTTTGTACACTGATATTGAAGTTGGATTATACTTGCAATAAACGTTGTAGCATGTGCTTTTTGATTTATTTTTAGCAACAAACTTACATATAGTGGATATACATTATTGTGACAAGGCCTCCTATGTTCTTAAGACGTTTGGCTTAATCTTGACAAAGTACGGGAATGGCCTATCACAAACATGTATGCGTGCTATTTTAACACCGATAGAACAAAGTTATAGTATTTTCTCCATATATTTTTGAAACCCTATCTTCCCTTTACTAACACTATAAATTTTCAGTAAAGCAACAACTATTCCAAGGTCTTGATGAATGCGGGATACTTATTGGCCGAGAATTTCCATTAGTATCTGGATATATTTGGACTTTCTTAGGGTTATTAGATGCTTCTTTGATGTCGTAACAGTTAATTCGAAATAACGTGAGATAAATGTGTTACAGATTTCACTTTGTTGTATCATGTTATTTAACTAAGAGTTGAAAATTCTTTGTGAGCACAGCATCAGGAATTTTGACACTAGAGAATCTGCTTACTGTCTTATACCAGTAAAAATATTTAATGTGCCGAACGCAGCGAATGCAATACAAGTTTAATGTGGATAAAATACACTATAATTTTGTTATTAAAATTATTAAAATAATTTTCCAATGAATTAAAGCAAACGCAATGACAAAAATCTGTACAACATAGAAATAGGCGATGACTTTCAGTAATATTTTAAAAATATTAAAGAAAGCTTAACCCAACACCGAATTGAAAACCTGGACTAATTCTAAAATTATAAAAAATTATAGTTAGAATTTTGAATATTAAAAATAACCGATAAGACGTCCTTAAAAAGCTCATTCATGCTATTTTTCACTTACCTATCAGTGGCGTGAGCTCTGCAAGGTACGCAATAGTTTAGTTCTAACTGTGCAACACCTAATTTAACCAGCAATCCAATACCGTAACTCCAGCGATACCCCCGAATTAATTCTTCTGTAGAGTCGCGGATAGCAGCTATAGATTACGATAGAAGGTTATCATTAAGCGTTCAGTATTATTTTAACGGAGATAGGAAGTAGTCAGTAGATAGTAATATACTGCAATAAACTTACATGAGCGTATATGACCAAGATTTCCTGCATTCACAAATAAGTGTGTTCTGAGTCGTTCACCAAATCCACCTTGAAGCGGTTTGAATGGCAATGGAGATATTAGATGTAATCCTGATGCCCATAGTGCATTGCCACCGATGGAATCGCCTTAAAAAATCGTACGCCAGACTTACTTATAGTCGAGACTAGAAATATGAAAAAGATTTTTAAATTTCCCTAGCGAAGCCCTACCTTCACTATGTGGTCCAATGCCTCTCATCTGAAATCCGCGAATTGATAAAGGACCACCTAGGAAAAACCTGCAATATGTTAAAAGCAATCAGACTAACGTTAGTAACTGTATTATTATGTTGCCTTTATAAAATAGTGTACCTATCACTTATTTTAGATTGGCCATCCGAAGCTAACAGTCCAAGATTTAGGGAAGAAGAAAAGACCTATAAAATGCTGTTGATTAGCTATCTGCGATGTTTATGCATTTTTACATCTTAATAATGGCTCTTTATAGATGTATTCTTTATACCATTAACTTACTATGTTGTAAGGCAAAGTTTTGTTATATTGACATTCCAAGAAAAATCTATGAAATTTAGTATCCCCTAGACTTCCCAGGCCTGCGTGTTCCTAATTGATGTATTAACATAATAAATAATACAGTAATTACGGTAAGGTTATTTGTACACGTAACCTTAGTAAGTTCATGCTAGACCGTAACATTTCAAGTGACTATACACCAATACCTGTTCAAATCTTATGAAATGACCAGTGGTCGGGGAGACGCTATGATCTCTAGTATCTCGCATGAAAGCATGCTGATTTTATATAATAGATGGCATTAGCAGACTAATTCAGCAGCCGGCGTAAAAGCTTGTGGAGTAATTATAATAATTGTCATTGCATATCCACTTAACAAACCTTTATAGAACATTTTAAAGAATGACCAGACTCCTCCCGTACAGCCCAGGATGATCGATCTGATAAGCACTGAATCTCTCTCCATACACTATCGAAATGTAAGCTATGAGCACCAAATTCTGTAATAATCTGTGCAAAAAATATTTTTTTGAAATATTTTAGATGATTTCACTTCATATCTTCCTCAAACGTGCCACAACTAGAGTCAATATCAAATCCACTATGCAATTGCATCTAATATTGAACAACTAAATTATGCTTTTGCCCGTACTGGATATTGGAAACCAATGCCTCGGGATATTTCTTTGAATGAACTTTGCACAAAGTCTATCGTTCCTTGATACAACGTTGAAGTCAGGCTGGAATATAAGGTACATTGTATATGATCACCTTCTATAGCTATTAATGCTAAATGTTGCGTTATGTACGTATAATTTTTCAAATTTTGTTATAACTAATATGAATAGCCCACCTTTTCTCTTTATCGCCAAATAAGGGTTTAATGAAAGATAGCTGTATTTAATAAGCATAATCAAGAGAATTAAAGAACTTTCTACATGACATCAATAAAGCAACCAAAGTTATGTACCTGCAATGTTGTGGATTTCTTTGCACCGTATGCAATACTGCCCATTAATTCTTCAGCACGTCCAAAGAGGTTTCTAAGCTTGCCACCAATAACCTAATCATTTTAATCCGTTAATAGGAATGAGGCACTAGCAATAAAGCATTTGTAGGCTGTAACAACGTCATAAAGACCATTCATTTAAAGCTATCTTTTACCAAGCGGCTATCCTGATTTCCAACTTCAGTCTTGAACTGAGCGGAAAAACGGCTCAATTCCCTTACTCGAAAAGTAACATCTAATTCTATCGGATCAGCTTTCTTATCTGTAATAAGTATAAATACATTAATTGAAACAGTACAACATTATCGTATCTAAAGATACCGCTTATTATTTATACGTGTATAGCTATAAGAATTTGAAATTTTTACATTGCAATAGTAAGTATCCTTCAATGAAATATACGAGTATAAGATTATATTCTATCAATCCTACTGCTTCTTTTTATCAATACGCTTACAATCACCGCCTACCTGAAGCAGCATCAATAAAGACATTGACCGGATGAAAAATATCTAGGTCTTCCAGATAATTTTTAGATAGATACATCTCCTTTACAAGCTATAAAATTTTACGAGAATCAGTGCCAAGATAATAAATTTAGGCAAAAGAAGTAGCTCTTATTCACCTCTTCAAACGTGGCAGCTTCAAATACGTTGTGGATTTTAGGTTGTACTAAATCAGTTCTAGTTACACGTAGTCCATCTATGTTGATATTGTGAACTTTGATCTAAAACACAAGCACAGCGGAGAGCGCTTATTGTAGTTTGAGGCAGTAGTAATATTTAGAAAGTTAAAGTGCGATAACAGTACAGTATGGAACTATAAATTAATGGTTAGCAGCACGGTACAGTATACAATTGGTGATTATTTATAACGAACAATAATAAACTGCGCTCTAAGATTGTCTACAAAATCAGAACAACAAGTAAGTTATATGCAATTATGCATGGACAAGCAATATAGTTCTTATCATATACGTATGTACCTTCTTATTTTTTAATTGCTGTTCAGCAGATTTGATTATAATAACCCCAAAATAGAGTAAAGCAGATGATATAGAGGATAAAAAGTACATAATGCAATCAGTTAATTTTGTCTGTCATAATAAAACGATTTGTAGTTATTTTTCCGCAATATACGGTATATGCATGGACTCGATATTACTTGAAATTCAACTTATTATTTATGGTAACATTAAGCTTACCAAACGTGTAGCACCTCTCTTCTCATTCTCTGCTCCCTGCATCGATGACCCTTTACCGGTTGTTTCCTAATTAAATTATAGTTATAGTAGGAGATATTTTATCATATCTTTTATCAATTGCGAATCGCATTATTTTTAATGAATATAGCAAATGAAAGTCACAAATCCCTTGCAAGAAGATTTAGGTTGCTACTTGCATTTATAGGTTTAGAAGCTTTGCAATGTCATTTGAGGAGTAAAACTACGACGAGATGCAAGTATGCATGTCTCTTTACACTAGCAGTAATATACTTGCATTATGTACAAGCTGTTATATCATTATTAGTACCTGGAGAGTATCAACTATAGTATCAACATGAGTATTTTTCAACCTTGTTGAAAGTGGAACTAAGTAGAAATACTGTAAGTTTTTGTAGACTGGACTTGGATAACTTACGAGTACTTGATTGGGCATTTTACCCAAGAAGAAATCGAATGCATTCTTATACTTTATATGTAGATTCAATTTTAGCTTCAAATTTACCATAGTGACCATACTGTACGCAAACTACCAATTCGAGTAAGCGGATAATTTCCTAGCTCAAGGATCAAATCATATGCGAAAAATTGAATCTACAGTACTGTAAAAATCACAAGGTATATCTTTGGCCTATATAATGTAGATAGACAGCCTATCCAATACTGTATAGTATATAATAAAGTTGATCGATTGGAATTATTGATAATCGTATCTCAATCCATGATGTTAACCACGTCGACTCTAGAATAGTCCTGGCAATACCTGCTACATACTCGTCCATATGAGGATCGCTTTTATATATTTGCATCGTTAATTGTTACATCATCTTACCTCTTCAGCCATGATTTTCCAAATAGAATCAGACTCAAAATTGATACAGTTATCAGGTTCCTTTTGCTCCTGTACAACGCTGGTACATGGATTGTGTAATTAGAATCGAGCTATCAATCAGTGCTACCCCAAAGAACTGATCGCAGATCTTCAAAACGAAGGTAAAAGTGAGCGCAAGCAGCACACTAAATCTGCTGAGAGTGAGAACTGTGCTGTACTAGCGACTGAAGAAAGGGAGTGTGCTGTATAGCTCAGTGTACTATACACTATACAGTACTGTATACCGTATAGTCAGGGACTTCAAATTCGCTATGATTTGCAGATTCATTTTACCTACGGTAACACGCAGAAGACTCATGCTACCTGACATACCGTCCGTCCGTAGTCTTCCAGTTCATGAACGGTTGAGTCACCTACGGTATTCGTGAACACTACTACACTATGAGCCAGAAGCCTGAGACAGGGTCAACTATCCATGATTGGACTGGGCCAAGCCAAGTGAACGTTCACATTCATATTGGAGGATACACACTTTGCATGGATGTTAACGATCCTGATGTAAATAGTAAAGTTCCAATCTTCTTCTTCTAATTGTGCTTACAGTATATAGTGCTTCAAATATTATCCAAGAAGTTCGACTGCATCTTTAAAGGTTGCCCTGATGCTAGTGAAATTGCAGATGTTCTGAAACCTTGGACTTTGTGCATTGAACGACTATTAGAGGACGATCAGCGTGCATGCTCGTAGAGTAAGTACCGTTGTTATGTTGTTGTATGTTGCATGCTGATGTCGGTTAATTTAAGGAGCATTGAATGATTGGTACACAGACTATCTACAGTATCCTATCGCGACTATTGAAAATAGTTAATCTGTGTTTGCTACGTTGTATTTTAATCAGGACTTGCTACTACCTGTATGAAGCTATCATAACAATTTGTTGTTTTCTTTCAGTTCGTAACTGGTTTTGAGCGCGTCCTGAACAAGTGAACATGTATCACACTAGTACACAACGAAAATATTGGACATTTCCCAACGAAGAGGAAATTGCCCAACATAAAGGCGCTCTACATAACCAATTCTTTCAAAAATTAAAGGTATTTGAAAGACCTAATAAGCAATAATACAACTGCCAGAAACTGATTCCAAATGTTACGCTTTAATTCTAAAGTCGTGAGCTAGACGTCGTTTAATTGTTGATATTTTGGGGTTTCCCTAAATGCTACAAATTCGTAACTTAATTGTCAACGATTTAAAATTGCATAACTTGCAGGATGATGATTCTAGACATATACGTACCAAAGGTAAGAAATTTTTACTGTGCGATATTTATTCTAGTCGTTTTATGAGTACTATTTAGCATACTTATACATCACCGTTGGATCAATTTTCTGAACTGGAGTCATTCATTAATTTACAGATTTGCCCAGTGTAGAAGAACTAGATCATCTTTGCACCTTTTATGAATTCGAATTAATGGATCTCTGCAGGCGTTTTGACCCACCAATGCCTGTAACTACTCTGGCAAGTTTTATTCTAAAATAATTACTTAGCTGTCAGTTACTGTACGCTATAATTACTAAAACTTTCCAGTATAGCAATTTATGATAGTGTAATGATGAGGAATAATGGCATTATTGTTATTATTAAATAACTAACTTGCACTTTCTAATTAGGCTACAGCTGCAGTGTATATGAAGAGATTTTATCTTGTCTGTTCCGTGATGGACTATCACCCATGTGATATCATGTCAGTAAAAATTATGGATTACCCATTCCTTGATTTAATAAATTGTATCTCAATGCTACATAAATAAGGAAGGATGACGAACGATATAGGAAAATTAATCAGATACATCGATGTACCTAACACAGGTTGGCATGCGTCTACCTTGCTACGAAGGTCGACGAGTATAATATTTCTATAGATAAGTTTTTGACAATGGTTCCTGAAAACGATAAGGAACGAGCCAAAAGTCGTACGCTTGGATTCGAGGTACGTGGGCTGCTTCTATCATCGAAATGTTACTGATAAATTGATGATATTCAAATCCTTTCTAGCTATTAGTAATGGAAAAATTGAAATTTCATCTGACAATACATTGTCCGTATAGACCAGTGGAAGGTTTATTAATCAACATTATGGTATATACTATGAATACATGGATTAGTTACGCTAGGAGAAGCAGTTGACTTGAGCACATATTTAAAATTTTCGTCTTTCTTTATATTAGACGGTGATTCCAGAAATTGCCGATAAAATAGACGAGCTTAGAAGGCATATCGATAAATTTTTATCGAAGATACTGTATTGTCAAGCAATGTTGATCTATCCCCCATCTCAGGTAATATAAATTGTTTGTACGGAATTAAAGCGCTTTATTGACTAAATATTTGTCTAATGCGTAAGGTCGGTGAAATTGCTTTATTCCCTTCACAGATTGCACTTGCGGCAATAATTGAAGCTGGTGAAAAAGCAGGACTGGACTTATTCGAGTCTGTTATATCTGCAGTATTAAATAACAATTCCTAAATATCTGATTCTCTCTTAATTTTAAATAACGTGTTCTATGTTCTAATAGGCGATATCTTAAACAGCATGTCGTGGGCAAATCAGATGACAATAAATATATCCAGCTGGTAGCGAAATTAAAAGGTTGCTTTAATAGATTAGCAAATTTTACATCACCATAATACGCATTGTCTAGATTTCTAGAAAATTGTAGTGCTGCAAGTAAGTACTCATTTAATATAAAATGTTGCAGATATTCGTAAAATGACTAATCGGAGTCCTACAAAAATAGATGTACATACGGTATGGAAATAATCGCAATGTTGCTTTTGAATAAATTTTAGAACTCTAATCTTGTTATTTATGTTTTAATATAGCATCAATATGTAATATTAAAAACTGCTCCATTTATTGTTTTCTACTCAACAGAAAGAGAAAATTGAAGAGAAAGTCAGAATTTATCGTAATGAAAATCATAATCCTGATAGCCACGCGTGCGTTACAAAAATTAAAGCGAGATTGATATATTGTAGATCGTAGTCGTTCAATAACAGATATATAAAACATACAGAACTGATTATAGTACGTTAATTATGTTGCATCTATCAAAGTGTCTTATTTGATATGTTTTCAGTTACAAACGTTTACGTGAAGAGGAGGAGAAAATGCTTGAGCAGAGACAAGCGGAGAAGCGTACTCGTTTAGCTAAGGTGCCCTACCAAAATCGATCTGTACGACCCTAAACATGTCATACTTTTGTTTACTATGTGAACAGTATTTATAATATTCTTATGGATAATTTCGAATAGTTATTGCTAATTTCGAAATACTTGTTATAATAGGACAAGAAACAACGAGAAAGCAAATTATTGCGATAATTATTTGTAGCATTTGATAACATGGCGATGATGCTTGGTTCTGGAATCAATGCATACTCGTATACCGTATGTGTATGATTATAATATTAATTACTTTATAAAGGGTCCGTATTTTCGGTTCATCCTTTATTCTTAAATATTTACTGCAATTTGTAAGTTTATTGTAGTCGAATTTTATTCAGAATGATCTGAAGTATGTACGTGTGTTTAACTTTAGCAAATTCGATTGATTGGTAAAATTTGATTCTGTATAAAGCATTTCGCCTATACTTAATCAGTGTATAGCATACGAGTCACCGTGTTGCATTTGTTGGATTTTAATTGCAGTAAATATATTTATTCTTTGCATTGATGTCTTTCTACGCTTATATGGCATACCTATAGCTATGAAGAAACTATTATTGTAGTGGCATACGGGTCTATAACTGATATAACCAATGTATTAACTTGTGGGTACTTCTAACCTACGTCATACCATATGGCATTGACTGCATTTGGAAGTGCTGTGAAGACTAAATCGGTTACAGTAGATTGACACGGTGAAATATTAACTGCACACGCGTATCATTTCTGGATGGCAAATATGCTGTATATAGTTAACACATGCTAGAAATTTTTCCTGTTGTTGTTTTCTAAGCATGGATTATTACTATTGTTCCATACTTGCATGATGATGATCAATGATGTAAGTGTTCGAGTATCTACTCTACCTGAACGTGTCTATTCAATATTAGTCAATAATCATGCATGTCAATGTTGTACACCTCGATTCATGCTCCAAGATGGGTACTGTACTATGTTAAAAGTGTGCAATAATGTAGTGTATCAATAACGCGGCCTATTTGCAATGCAAACAAAGCATTAACGGTGCTGCTGATGTTCTTACTGTATTGTCGTCCACTGTTATTGACAAAAGGCGAAATCTGTACTAAGACCAAGATGAATGTCATGGGAGTGGGGATAGAAATGATTGATGATTATTGTGAAGTGGGTTATTCCACGTTAGATAGGTTATGTTAAGGAGGAAAAAAAAAAGCAGCAAGAAATATGTGTAGCGATATTGCAGCAGCAACTATCCGGCAACACAGCTGGCAGACGATCTGCTGTTCACACCTCATCGCGGCACACTGTAGCTTTTTGGAGAACAGTTGTGTATAGTACTGTATGACACCGGGCTAATGTTGCCGTTGGTAAGTCATTGAGTCATATGTCCGTGGGCAAAATGACCGTTGACCATTGTACTGTACAAGTGTACATTGTACTTGTTCAAACAGCGTTCAGAAGACAGGTACGGACTGGTATGGGACCGTACCGTGTATGGTGATCCGAACCGTACCAGTACAATACTGTTTCTTTGGATTATGTCATTCATGACGTACAGTACATTGTACACTGGCGATGTACAGTGCCAAGACTGTAAAGTACTGTCAGATGCAAGACGTCACAGCCATCATCACACGACTCAGTACAAACGCTTATAATACAGTGCTGTCCCGTTTTACTCTTCATATTGGACCTGCCTCCCTCTGGTACACTGTACAGTACGGTAATTTACTGTACAGTAGGCCGTAGACCATACTGTACAGTACAGTGCAAATGTGGTCCTTTTTTTTTAGCTGTTTTTATACCGGTTGAAGGTAATTTAATTAAATAATCTATTTAATTAAAGCAGTCCAACTTTATTTATCCTACAACGTTGATAGGTTACAGTGTAGACTCGATAGTCAGTAGTTAGTTATTGTACATGAGAGAGTAAAAGTACTTAGACGTTGAAAAATTGTCTTAGTCAAAATATTCACTACAACCAACTCCAGTGATAGACTTGAAAAAATGCTTCAACGACTTGACGGTTGACTTGTACTAGAACGGTGTTCCAATTCACAATTAGAAATCCGCGTTGGAGAGAGCGCAAAACAATTTTTGCCTGGTTGGTAAAGGCTGGCAATTGATTCCAACAACGCTTCAAATTCGATGAAATCTTGATAATCTTAATCTTTAATTGGCCAGTCAAAGTCGAATATAAAACATTGGCTATTGCATACCAATGGAGAATTAACCCAGCATCTGTCATCGTCAACCTTTTGCAAAAGGATAGAAGAAAGACAAGAAAGGCTAACCAAAACTTTTGATTGGCACTTGTACTACCATTATTCCACTACACGCCTGCATCTCTTCTTACTGTATACGTTGCTAGATGATATATCCTATTATAGTCACGACCAAACATTTCCATTAAAGGTGACATCAACGTTTGAATTTTCAAAAGGTGTTCGCTCATTTCCAGAAGATAAAGCATTCTTAAGTTCATTGGTAAAAATGCAATACTCGTAAAAAGAACCAATTACTCGTATACCTGGATATGACAGCTAACCACTAAGTGTACTACACTGGTAAGGTTCAAACTCTTTGAAATCTCGAAAGTTAGCTGAAAGAAATCTTTTCAAGATGAATTTTGGAAAAATGCAATGGCGTGTACCTGGATTTGCTAAAAGAGATAAAACCGAACAAAGCTACAATAAAACCAATGCAACTACACTTGAGGAAAATCTTCACAATCATAGTAACACTAATACGGATTGTATCGATGACAATTCGTCAATTAAAACTAGTCCTGTATATGACGGCAAAACGCTCAATCCTTCTTCAGCTGATTATGCAATCGATTCCCAACCCCATCATCATGACAATATCATGGCTAAACATCAAGACGATAGCGACGATGTCGAGAAAGGTGTTGAGTGTACTGAGTCGCAGACATCACAACACGTATCCAATGTCAGTAATAGCATATTGATTAATAAGACTACATCTCACCATCAGACTACCAGTCTAACTTTATCCGAAGGCTCTTTACCAACAGAATCGCCTAGGATGGCAGTAACCTTTGCTCTTGACGATAGCGATGATGATAGTGATTGCCAAAATGATAATGAGCAGCAATTGGATTCAGAGTATTCCAGCCCATCTGCAATGAACGATTACGCATTACCAGCTAAAAATTCATGGTTATTAAGACTATTGGAGTCAAGTTTATGTGATATGACTATTGCAATACAATATCTATTCCAATATAGGAAAACTGCTGGTGTGGGTAGCTATTTGGGTAACAAGTTATTTGTAAGTTTGGTATATCATGTCGAGGTTGTAATCAACTGCGATCTGTAGTTAACGTCATACGAGTTAGAATTTGAACAGTTTTTCTCTATTTGCTAGGTTTGATAGCAATAAAAATATGTTATTTTTATAATCTATTATACGATGTCAGCTATGATGTCTTTGAAAATGGGATGTTTTTCACTACTCTCAATTATATAGAGCCTGGAAGATTCTGATGTAGACATGTACTTACCACAACTAATGTAAGTAGTTCATGTTCTGTAAATGAACATGTTTACCGAATCATAACAAGGTAGTGATTCAGGTTAAGTGTAATCAGTGCTATCGTAGCATAATTAACCAACTCTACGGAAGGGTAAATGACATCTCAATGATGTACAGCACTATGGCACCTTTTCGAGAGTTCTCTTTTATTCTGGAATGAACATACGCATGGTTGAGTGAAATGATAGGAATGTTAAATGTCGAATAACGTTATAATGAAATCATATTGATAACATTCAGTAGAATTAATTATTATTAGGTAGCTTTGTGTCATTCTATTAAGATAGAATCATTTTATAATATGTAAGAAATAAAAAAATACTTCTATTAATCCATTGGCAACGTATACTACTTATTTCTTAGCTATGGCTATTTACAATTTGATGATATTGCTGACATGATAGAACCTTACATCACTTGGAGAGGTAAAAATGATCCAGTCTTTGCTGTATTGGTAAGTCAACATGATGTTATCATATACACGATATTGTTTTGATAGTATTTGACAATTGTACTTTCTATACGGTAGTTTATAATAATATCATTTTTCCTTATACTGTAGTATTATTCTTATAAAAATGGATGATAAAATAAATTTAAACCTATCGACTGTTGATACAAAATCGATTAAACAGGGTTAAAATTAGACTGCTGCATGTACAGTAGATTGAGTTCCTTACGTATAGTCTAATGGAATTCTAATCAGTTTTTGTAATATCGTAATGGATACTATTTTGGATATAACTTCAATTTAGTATCTTCTTTCATCTTTCTTGCTTCATGATAGTTTTAATTAAATCATTAAGCATAATATTTTTCTTACACGAGCAATATTACATTAGATAACCGTATAAAATAAGAAGTTCAACATAAATCTCTAATGGAAAACTTTAAATCGTAGGGTTCATGGCTGTTAGACGCTAACCTAGCTGATAATTATTTGCCAACCGAGAAGCATCAACGAGGGTCGAAGTTACAGCTAGATTTGGTTTCTAAAAGGAATTGGACACCAATAGCACAGTACGTTTTGTGATTTATCACATTAATGGGCATTAAGTTGTTACTTATTCAAGATGTATGCTTTGGCACGGTATTGTTGTCCTAAATTAATTGTAAATCATACCTTTATGTACATGGTGCTTCAAGTACTATCATAGTTTCCGGCTTCGTGTAAGCTAACAATTTTAATCCAGTTGCTAGTATCAACAAATTAGCGACAGTTACTCAAAAGGCCCTAATACCGATATAATATCACACTGTACTGCTTCCATAAATTTCATTGCAAGTTTTTTAAGATAGTTCTTTCTCGCTATTTAGGAAATCTTTAAATTTGGTTTGTAGTACTTACAATCTTGGTAGTGGTAACACGAAAACTCATCATCGATCTAGATCTGACTGTGCTCAATCTATATTTATGACGCCTTCATCCCTTCCAAGTTGTAGATCAAGTAGTGAAAATGATTATGTAAGTAATGCTGATGCAAATGCTTACTTACAATCCTGGCCTAAACTCGTAGAATACGACTAGCTAATCATGCAACTTGAATTTTTACAGGATTATCAGCAACAAAACAGTAACGTTTATGGTATGACAATCATGAGTCCAGCGAAGGATCACCATACTTCAAGTACATCGAAGTTAGTACCGAGTTATAGTATGCCGTACAGTCTAAAAGATCTTCCAAACAAACAATCTTCTAAGGTAAAATTATTGAAAATTTATTATTACATTTACTTGATTTAGGACTGAAATATAAATAAATATTCCTTTCACATTTTATAGACATCGACGATCGATCCACAACTGGATTTCATCAATACATTAAATGAAATTGGGAATAAACTACAAGGCTTACGAAGCAAATTATTAAGATGTAAGCATACAGAAAAAAAAATCTTTCTTCACATTATAAATACTTGACGATAAATTTTTATTATCCATGCCGCTAGCACAAAAGCTTTTCTCCGAATTATCGCTACTAAACTTATCCCTACCCGCGCGAATATGCCTCTTAACTAATTCTGAATATTTCAAAAAGCATCACGTCGTTCGTATTCCGCCTTCCTATGCTGTCGTTCTTAATTCTAAAGATAAGGTTTGGATGAGTTCTATTATTTTATATTTTCCTTTAAAATTATTACACTTTTTGTACATATTGAGAAGTATGAGATGTTTGAAGATGTTTGCATGCAGTAATTTCGTATTTAATCTCAATTTTATGGTATCTAGGCCCCGTACTTGATTTATGTTGAAGTTATAGAATGTGAACATACTTTTATTTCTGAAATTCCTAATAAACTACTAGAAAGCACTGTCTATTCTTCAAGGTACAAAGCAAATGAAATAAATTTTAGTGATTATAATATCGTACAACAATTTATTCCGATCTTTCAATTAAAATTTTCTATTACAATTCTTACATAGAATCGCTGACGATGATTCTGATAACGACGACGACAGTCGATTTCATAATATGACGTCAAATGTCGGTTTTAGTGTAAGTATGATAAATCACCAATAGCCTTCGACTACCAGTAATAATGATAAATAAAGTTGGTTATTGATCGTTTATTTCCAGTTTTGTCCTATGGGAGACAGTGATGAAGAATGTTGGTCAGTCGATGGTGCATTTGTTGATGAACCTAAAGTTGATTCTGGACATGTAAAGGATGAAGAAAACGAGGTAAATGTTTATCTTTTTAAAGTAATCTAATTCATAACAGCAATACAGCAAAGAAAGTGATTTTATAGATGTACGTATTTTAGTTATGATCACAAAGGAAGATTAATCACTTAGCGAACGTTGTAAAAGTATATACGTATGTAACGATTAAAATAATATTTAATGCTATCTATCTACTAAACTATCTTAGGAGGTAGTATTCTTTGCCCCTGGAGAGATAAGACGCCGTTTGGTAGAACAAACCCAGCAGCCGAGCAAAACTTTCGCTCGTGATAAAGACGATCCGTCAGCTTCTGCACTGAAGGAACCCTGGCAGGACAAAGTTAATAAAATTCGAAGTTCATCTCCTTATGGACACCTTCCTGGCTGGAAACTTCTTTCAGCTATTATAAAATGTGGCGACGACCTAAGGCAAGAATTGCTAGCAAGTCAATTGTTGCGTCAATTCCAAAACATATGGGACATGGAAAGGGTATCTCTTAAGCTACGGCCTTATTCTGTCACAGTTACATCTGTCGACAGCGGTTTAATTGAACATATCGTCAATGCAGTATCGCTTCACCAAATTAAGAAACACAGCAGAGCTTCCCTTTATAAATATTTCGTGAGGGTATGCTTTCATCAATTGTATGGTGTATCATAGACGATTAATTTTGAATCTATTCTAATATTATCATCCGATTAAACTTATATTAGGAATATGGAGATGAAAACTCTGAGAGATTCTTAACTGCTCAGCGCAATTTTGTCCAGAGTTGCGCAGCTTATTGCTTGTTTTGTTATTTCGTACAAGTGAAAGATAGGTATTAAAGCTAACTATAAATACCTTTCTGCGATATCCAACGGTTAATAAAACTATACTAACCTTTTATAATTTCGTTAGACACAATGGAAATATTCTTTTAGACGGAGATGGACATCTTATTCACATTGATTATGGATTTATCTTATCGAGTTCTCCGAAGAATTTAGGATTCGAGAGTTCGCCTTTCAAACTGACCTACGAATTTGTTGAGGTACTCGTAACTCTTAGCTTGCAGTCGTTTTCTTCTTTAAATTTATTATTCATATCCATACTATTACTTACACTATGTGTTGCTTGGCGGTCACGTTATTTTCAATCTTAGGTTATGGGTGGATTGGAGAGTGATATGTTTCAGTACTTTCGTATATTAATGCTGCAAGGATTTATTGCTGCCAGAAAGCATTTAGACAAAATCTTATGTCTTGTTGAAATTATGCAAACAGGTAATTTCAGTCATGTGCTTATTGTATTAAATGTTAAGATATTACATAAGAGATTGTTTACGGATATACTAATTAATTGCTATTAACTAAATTAAATTATACATTTAGAGTCATCATTAGCCTGCTTTGCATGTCCAACCACTGTTGCTGATTTAAAAGGTAGATTTCACGTAGGATTAACGGAAGCTCAAGTAGAAGGGCTTGTTAACGACATGATTGAATCCAGCATGCGTTCACTTACTACAAAATTATATGACCGATTTCAGTACATCACTAATGGTATACTATAAACCCCTTATTTTTTATTTGCCTTTGCGAATATAAATAAATCTTTTATTTTCAGCCTTATATTCCACATGAAACGTCCATGTTTATGAATTGGTTTAGTTAACTAAATGTGATAGATTGTAAATGATCATCACTTTGTTTTAAAAAATGTATCACGGAGCAGCTAATAGCAGTCATGTGATGCTATAATTATTAAACGTGCCTTTAATTGCTGTATATAATATCTCGCAACCTTTTGTTTTATAGACTAAAAGATTATTAATGCATGTTAATTAATGTTGAAAATTTTGCAAAAAAGACAATGAATATTATCTGCAGATACTATTAAAATTATACTCTAATTGATTCGTTTTAAAATCCAAAGGAAACCATAATTTTTATCCGAATGAAATTGTTAGATTTGGGTTACCCAAGTCATCCAAAAAAGTAGCTATTGATATTATGTGTATAGCTTTGTAATTTATAATGTAACAAAATTGTTATAATATTGGCAACAAGTTTAAATTTGTCCAAAAAATTGCAAATTATATCAAGCCATAATCTGCATTTTGGCTAAAAGCCTCAGCTGTGCTTTATAATCTAAGAATTTATTCAATGAATTTGCTATCTTATTAAGAAAGGTGATCACCAATTGTATACTTGTGCTTTGCATCAATTTATATACCGCTTGACCGTTAGTAAAATTTATCAGCAATCGCTTACCCTTAAATGTATGGATTGTGTATCTTTACTCGTGTTTTATATCATCCTAATTGACTTTATTGAAAGAAAGATGTTATTAACTATAGATTACATCATTCCAAGTGTGGTAATCTACGCGTGAATATTTTCTTAGGTAAGTAAAAGCTAATCTCTGATATATTTAAATAGCAAATGATGATTTTTAGATAATCGGTTGATAAAAAATATGATTACTTCTTGAAATTTTCAAGAATGAACAGATAGCTGATGCGCACAATTTAATATAGGATTACTTTTTGTTTTTATTTGTAACTTAGATACATATATTTTAATTTTTATCCCTACTTAGGACATTTTAGAAAGAGATCGATGTGTATTTTCGTCGGGTTGGTATTACAATCGCCAATAAATATTGGAATGCCTACGTAGCATTTAGACCTGAAGGAGCAGCTAGTAGTACTGTAGCTAATAAACTTCCTGAGAGCTAAACAATTTCCACAAGAACTGAATAATTTATTCGCTGGATAGCCCTCTTTAATATTAATTCCTATTCTCCGATACCTTTATGCAGTAGTACTTGTCTTGGCATATTTCAAGTTAATACTTTAATGAATGCATACGCGAATAGTCGTTGGCGAATCCTTTTAGATTTACGAATTACGATAAGTATTCTTAATTAGACTTAATACTTTTACCAGCGACGTAAACATTAATGATATTTCTATCATCCCCTAAAAGGAAGGCAACGTAATTCAGTATGATATTTTGTTTGAAAAAAATTCCCCTATTAGATATATGCCAGATTAGTATGTTCTCAGCTTACCAGCGTAAAGGAAACGTTGAAATTTTTCCTGCGAAAAACACATTTCAATCACTTTTCTATTACTTAATGGAATGAAATTATGGTTTATATAGTATATATACATCTTTGTAAAGCTTACCTCCAATCCATCAAAATCGAACGTGGAGATTACAGAATTATCGACGTTACAATCGATGAGAAGGGCATCAAAGTCTTTCCCCGTCTTAAAAATACATAGTAATTACTGTACGATTACGAAACAAGAATTTGATAGGAACACTTTACATATTGATTGCATGATATGAAATTCGGAGAATATTGATTTAACAACGAGTGTAATGGTAAAACCATCAATTAATGTAAGAAATTTTTCAATTGTTACGGCGCTTAGAGTGTAAATCAAGTTTGAATCATCTTAGCAACAAACCTGAAAATTTCCGATCCTTTTATCCAATCCTAAGACTATTTAGTAGAGTAAATTAATGGAAAGAATAGTAATTTAAAGCTGTTATACTACGTACATTCTGTTTACGAATACGACAAGAATTTGCCCTAGTTATAGCTCTAGAAAACATGTAGGTACGTACTACAATAGCAATGTAAAACTGTTTTTAGATTATCTGCATACCTTTCGCTCCCCCTAATGTTGCCATACAAAATGCTTCTGCGTTACTGATTGGTTGATATGCAGTTTCTTTCACTTTTCCAATGCTAATAATCTTTGACGTAGTTATGGCCATCCTTATTGCATTTAATATTGAGACAGAGTAGCCAGCTCCGATATCTAAAAAGGTTTAAAGTTAGCTTATTTAATTGTAGTATCGTTGCCGATCAGGCTGGCATTAAGTGTTTGATGAAAGAATCAGCACAAAACTAAGTGCACAACAATATCGCTCAATCACCTACCTGTGCCTAGGCCAACGTTAACGTTATATTTCAAAAACTTACGAGCATCGAATATACCACTACGTATACTAGAAAGCAATAATGAGTAGTATATATATACGTAAGCCGTAATTTATAAACTCAAAATAGCCTTAAATTAGTCGTTTTCTATACTATAAAGTAAAATATTTATGATCACATATGCGATAAGTAGGAGTAGATACGAACAAAACTGTAACAATTATAAATCATTTATAAATTTAAACTAAGTATCAAATGGACCACTATGGCTACTAGAACACAATAATCCATAAATTATACAAATGTATATACACCAAATATATTCCTACAGACTTGAGCCTAGAATCAAAATAGATTACTACGTATGTCAGAAAGGAATAATTTATATACTGGTTGTCCATAAATTCAAATTTGAGTCTCAAATAATCGCTACTTACGCGTCTTAACGTAATAATACGCGTATACTGTAATAGACAAAAACCTTAATACGCAAAGATCTGGCTAATGATTGCGAATAATCTTAGAGACTATTTCAGCCAAATCTATCATTTATTACCTAATATTAGAATTAGGACAGTGAGATACACCAACATTTCGGTCTTTCAATAATTGAATATCTTCTTCGGTTACGTGGATACAGTGAGCTAAAATAGTCTATCATAAATTTTAAGAAATAGAATCAAATTATACGATTGTGATAGGCTTTAAGATTCCCTATTTCTTCTCTCATTTATCAGTTAGATCTTTACAGGCTAAATAGTTTATGATTGATAATGGTACAACAAGGTCAGAAAATTTAACAATATTTGAGAATTATTGTAGCACAGAAATAATTATTTTAAATTAAGATAATGACATTGTACCCGAGGAGTAAGTAGAGATGCTTTATCCAATATGCTGGTATACGTTTTATTATTAGGAAACATTTCAAAAGCTATTTTGACTTCCTCTGCACTTTGAGCCATTGTTGTCTAAATGAAATTTACCCAGCACATTAGATTAATTAAATTACTCGTCATCAATATCCATAAATTGCCTTCTAGCCATTGATCAGAAAAAAATTTACGTATAGAATTATTTTTGAGCCAGTAACTTTATTTCTATAATAAAAACATAGAATCCTATCTCGTAATCTATTCATTGAATACATCATTCTACCTGAATACAGATCCCGAGATCTTTGGATAATTGATTAAATTTTTGCACGAGTTTTTCGGTTGTTGTTTGGCGTAATCGAAGCACAAGAACAGGCATTAGTAGCGGACTCTAAAATTAGTTTGGTGAAGTTAAGCACACGTAAAGTATTGATTTATATTTAAATTAGAATAAGTTAGGATCTATCAATTAACTTATAAGAAATCAATGCTACGGCATAGATACTCTTACCACACGACTACGCAATGTTCTAACCAGCCTAAGATGGATATAATAATATCATAAGCGTTTACGTATATATAGAATATTAGTAGGAATTCCTAATTATAATGCGATATTCGATACCTGACAGTACTTTCATATGCTTGATTAGATGTCTCAAAGTAAAAATAAGGAGAATTTCTATCCATGCAAGTTTTCCCTATTATTGCTCTTTGTCCTTTTTTAACTAATAATGAAGAATTATAGCTGTAAATTGCTATAAGCTTGAGTTCCAATAAGACTTGAAATTGTATTTTATACGATTACTTGGATAAGAACATCAATAATAAAATGATCTACTGAAAATCGATTGTCAGAAAATTATTACTCAAAAATAAAATTTAAATTATAATAGTGCAATAAAATCCTGGTTGATCAAAATAATCTTTTGATTATTATTTTCAGGATTACGATCTTAATATTTATCTTAGTCGACTGCACTAAGAAAATTACAAATTTACCATAAGTAAAATTATCATTATCATTATTCTACTCCAATAATATTCCAGTCCAGCAGATAATTTTATCAGCTTTATCCTGCAGTAACTTACTTGTGATATTGGCTAAAGTGGAACAAGCATCAAAATGCATACTCATTAAGTAGCATGCGGTTGTGGTCCCATTATCGACCATGCATTTCTGTATAATAGTCGAAGAAATGAATAATTATTGTTAATTAAGCAACATAAATAACAAGTGCAGGGAATTAAAACGTCAACATAGATTTTTTTCTTAGATTTAAAAGTTCCAGCGATAAGCACATTCTAAAACTAACATTTCATATTATGAATACTCGATCGTTAAAATTGACTTACAACTAATTTCTGCATTAACCGCTCTGTGTAGTTTAGATCAAAGCATTGAGCTTCTGCTGGTAAAGCACAATTTTCTAGCCAGTCAAAGGATTTCTTATCCATATGTGTACATGCCATTGGAAAGCAAGTAGCTGTTGCACGAGTATCAATTAGGCCAGGTATCATAAATTGTCTAGATAGATATCGAAACAGAGCAGAAGAAAACTACCTCTATACTTTATGAAATCAATAGTCTCGAATTCTTATGATTATCTACTACTCTTAGTGAATATTTAAGCTAATAAGGACGATAACTATGCTCGTACCATATAGGAGCATGAAACTTAAAATGACTGTTCTAGCTAAGTCTAGTCCTTCATGTCATAGAAGTAATACAGTAAGTAGCATAAATATTCAATTTGAGGTGATTTTATAGCATATTCAAAGTTACCCTGAAGTCATCGCTAAGATATCTTTTTCATTAAATTGGTATTCCTTTCTTAAGTCTGTCAAGTTACCACGATCAAAAAAAACTATCTAGAAATTTCGTGTAGAAAAACCAAAACATACAAATATTATCATCTTCGAAGTTCAATCTTTTCCCTGAAATGGAATACTACCTTGCCACTAGTATTGACGATCATGATATGATCGTGTAAGTAAGCAATTTCCTGACAATTCGTTTCAGAGATATGGACGAAATTGCCAACTACGACTAATTGGATATTAGCATTGGCCATTATAGTGATATCTTCAATTATTTTATTTCCGTATTACCGCAGACTAGATTATTAATCATAGAAAAACACAGCATTATTCACCTCTGGAATACCAGAAGCACTTTCATTTTATTCAGGGTTAAATCTCGTATCTTAAGAGAACTGAATTCGTATCTTTAAAAAATAACAGAAATCTGGTTCATAGTATACTAATTGATAGGATGTTAACAAATCTTCTTTTATATTTCTACCCTAAAAATAGATTAACTTAAAGTTCAATATCTCAAACGAGCTAATTCATATTCAGGAGGGAAATAGAAACCTCGTCTTTAATTGCATGTATTGTATTAATAACTTTTTTCACTTTGGTGTTTACAGCACTACTAGCTTGAGCTAGCATTTAACAAACTTGCAATAATGCAGTTATATTTCTACAGATCCAGCTAGAAGCTTAATAATATTATGTATTTTAACAACAGATACCAAATTTCTGCTATTAATAATTACTATTCAAATGTTTTTGTAGAAATACTAAGGAATACTTTACTTTTCTGAAATCAGAATCTAATATTTCAAGAAAACCAAATATCATATCATAATGGATAACAGAAGCCCCAATTTACAACCATATTCGCGATATTGGTGAAGTTTTGTATCTATACTTATCATAGTAATAGGCTAACCTTACATCTGCAAGGCTGTAATAATTCAGCATTACCTTAGTATTACCCTTAAAGATCCAATAGGATTACAAATTCTCACCAATAGAAAAATTGCAGAGATCTATCCGTTCTTATTGTATAGGAGTCTACAGTACGAATAAGATAGCACAGTTTCACATAAGATATAATAAATGCTTTTACTAACGACTAAAGATTATAATGTAAATCTATAGACAAAATTTCTATAGTGTGTTATTGCAATGACTATGATTCAACACTACCATATGTTGCCTATGATGTAAATCATAATTTATTACTAATATTATGCAATATTCATGTTGTCAGTCGGTCAGTCTTAAATCTGTTATTTACTAACATGTACTTTATAGCTTATATGATAAACCAATATTTTCTTGTTTTAATTATACTGAAGTTTTGCATTACATTTATGCTAGCTGCCTTACTGTATGAGATAAATTTGAGCTTTTTGGTGTTATACTTGATTTCGTAGTAAATAAAAATTTTTTACTAGTAGTCATACAGGTTTATCATTTACACATACATATATACTACAATATCTCAATTTCATTTCTATCATTCGTGCATCCTATCTGTTTTATTTTATCATTCGGCAGCAATGACCTTTACAACTATTAATGAATGATGTAGTTGCTTAGAGTCTTTTGTAGATTTTTCTATAACAGCTGATAGAGATTGCAAGTTTCAAAGATAGATCATCAAATGTTGGACAACACTTTATTTTGTATTAGCTAGAGACATACAGTTTTAGGTAGATTGATATACGATCGAAAATGTGGAGCGATCATTTTATGTTCAATACCTTACTAAAAATGCCCATGATTTGCTGAAAGTAGTTCTAAATTGCCTTATTACCAGCTCTTTGAGACATTGAAGGTATGAGTAAATCATTTACGTTTACTTCTTACAAAATTTCGAACTAGACTTTATTTCCTTCATTAAACTAGACTTTAAGCTATATTACAGCATTCATTCACTGCATATAGTTGCATGCTCGTGCAATAATAATTTTTACTCATCGTATTTTATATTGAGATTATCTATCTCATTCATATACACATAGCATTTATCTGTTCTTTAATAATGATACGTATAAAAGATGCTCTTTTTTGCTTTGAATACACATAAGCATGATCTAAATAGAATGTTTTAATTGTTATTCTGCGTATATCACTATGCATATCAACTAGGTAGGAGCTACACAACTAGATTGAGCTACCTAAACTATAATTACTACTCTACAGTACATCATGAAATGTTTTTAAGAAATTTAGAAAGATACAAGTAAGATATTTGAAAATAATTTATTTAATTAAACGGCAACCTGTATTTTATAAATGATGACTGTGAAAACTATAATTTTTTCGAGTATTGATCATTCCTAATGGTACGTCATCAATGAGATTTTATTCGTATACAACGTATCATAAACGTATCTTTCTAACTGCACTTGAAGGTAGATTTTTGTTTATGTTGCAAAGTATAGTGAAATGAAACGGGCAATCTTTCATACATACAAAAAGAAATACTATTGGATATAACAAAGGCAAATTACAGCATAATAGTAAATTTATCACAAAGCATCATAATTTAAAGTGTTCTTCATTTACAAATTAAATATCGAGATTCGCTTGCTGGATACAACTTTTATCCAGCTGTGATTAATCAATCAATCAATATTAACCAAGCAAGAATTTCACTAAATAATCTGTACAGAAATTCATTATAAGCAGTAGACATTGAACGTATTTAAGTAGTACTACGCCAATTCACTAGGTAATAGAAATAATATCAAAACATGAAAATATCTACTATCGCCGTAGAAGCTTAAGAATTAGTTATTTGAATGAACCTTCCAAATCTTAATACAATTATCGTCAGATCCTGATGCTAATATGTTATCAACTTTCGGATGCCACCTAACAACATTTACGTCATGATTGTGTGCCTGGTAATAAGCAATAAATAGCTAAAAATTAGGATTTACCAACCTAATAAGCGTAAACTACAATCAATGCTGAACTTGAATAAGCACATTTTCTGAGAAAAAACTTTTATTAATTACCTTATCTTTGCATAGTTCCATTGTGGCAGTAGCCGATGCATCGCTTGCATTCATTTCCTTGAAAGTGTTATTAGTAAAATATTAAACTCAGAACTATTGAAACTAACTGATTTGATATAGATATAGTAATCCTTACAATAGAGAAGATACGAATTGCATCATCACCACAAGCGGTAGCAATCTTATTGTTTAGTTTAGACCTAGATAGAAGTATAACAGAAACCAAGAATTAAAGCATGTAATGAAGTTGCAGTTGCAAAGCAATGGGTGACTATATACCAATCAACGTCATAAATCGGCCTATTATGATAACCAGCTATTGTACATATACTGATCCACTTTACTTCTGGAGTACCCCATAGTGTCCATTTTCCAAATAAAATTATAGAATTCAATTACAAGCACGATTTTAGTCACATTCATAAATTACAATTAAGCAATCTAGTACGCTAAAAAAGTAAGACGCAACAAATAAGTTTTTGAATGTAAAAATTACAAATAAAATCATACCATCAGATGGACCCGATTTTAAGCATTTCCAAATTTTTAAAACCTTATCATCCCCACAAGAAACTGGGCAATTAAAATATTAGATACGGTAAGAAAATATTGAAGCCAATACTGTCTTAAGTTGATTTTTTTTACATTCAATACAAGATAGAATTGATTACCAAATAATTCTCCACTGGAATGAAAGCTGAGCGACCAAACGGTTGATTCATGTCCAATAAGGGTGTGACTACATTCCCTTGATAAAGATAAGCAGAATTCAGCATTGAGAAAGACTACCTTTGAGTAAGTAAGTAAGTAAGAACGGCTATTGATTATCCTTAATAGAAACTGTTTTTATGAGATTGGAATATTGGTCCAGCGTAACTAACCAGTCATCGTCAACCTCTTTATATATCTTGATAGTGTTATCGTAGCTAGCAGAGACTAGAGCCTGTAAAGTATTGGAAAAAGCAGACAATTTAATTAGCCATATCACCTTTTAGCGATAATTAATATAATAAATTCGAGTACTTTATTTAAATTTGCTCTAATCATACGTTTTCTTTTGGACTCCAAACAACATGTTTAACATCTTGAGAATGATCGGTTAATACACTAGCGCATTCATATTCTTCATCTTCTTCGATAACTTTTATTCAATTAGAAAACGAAGTACAGTAGTTATATAATATAGAATGAATAGTAGCAATTTATTGCAGTACTACAGAATGTTTAAATGAAACATATTAAATGACCACATACATTCCCAGATCCAGGCAGATTTATCTCTGCTACAAGAAGCCAAATACACTCCAGAAGAAGACCAATTAACACATTTTACTTCATTCTCGTGCCCTTCTAGGGTTGCCATACATTCAAAGTCTGTAACAATTACATTGTAAGCAAGTTATGCTGCATATAAAGCTAATGCCACCTCTATTTTCTATTCATTACAGTATAGCTGTTGTTATGATATTATATTGCATAATTTCCCATCAATAGCGAGTAAAAATATATACTTGCCGATAAGACAAGATCATGCTAGGATAGACTAGAATAAAATAGTTTTATTACCTAAGCAAGTAAACTTAAAACTCTTTGCCAGTATGGTATTTTAGTTTCATTAAATCAATTTACAAATTACAAGTTAGAATAGAATACGCATGAACGCTTACCTCCATCCTTTTTAGACCAAATACATATTGTTGCATCAAAACTGCATGATGCTAAATAATTTCCACAAGGTGACCAAGCCACTTTACGTATAAATAGTTGGTAATGAAAGAGACAAAAGATGTTACATGTTGTTATATTTTAGATTATAGATATACGCGTACTCGTACGGCGTGATTATTGATATATTAGTTACAGAATTGCAATAGTAATAATCCAGTTACAACAAACCGAGACCAAGACTAAGCAATATTTGACCGAAATATGCTCTTTGAATTAGTACTAAGCTATGCTATTCTATGAAAGAATCATATATATTCTGTGATCGACAGGTATAGTCAGCTAGATGCATCTGTTACTTACCGCTACGTATCGTCCTCGTATGTCCTTCTGTAAGGATACTTTTACAAGTCCATTGATCAGAATCGGAATTTTTAGCCCAAATACGGATGTATTGACCGAAATTAAAAATCAAGAAAGGGAAAGATAGAGGTAGAAATGCGACAGTCGTCATTTAAATGCCACACAAGTGAAAAGCTATGCAAAATACCTTGTTACATTGTATAGTTTTGAAACTGCGCTACAGAATTATCACGAGTTTAAATATATTTGTGCATGACTACGAAAGCTAAATATAAATTCTATATACAAGTAATTCTTTTGTAAGTATGTTAGAACTGTACAATTATCACCTAGTATGATTTATAATCAATTTTGCTACGTATTTATCAAATAAATCCGTTGCCTTAAGTTATTACAAAAATTATCAGTGGTATTTAATTGTAGCTGAAAAGTTACCATCTGTACAGTGCTAAAACATTGTTTTAGACCTCTGAATTATTTGCCTAGTCGTCATAGATTATGCATTTGAGAGAAAGTTAGGTTAATCTAATGTGTCTTATCCACGAAATTATAGGTGATGAAGCTATCTATCCGAGGCTACATCTATTTACATTATATTGAATCCTAGGAGTTAATGATAACAGTAAATAATCTATCTAACTACGTTTGGCGATATCCATAGCGTTAAGCTGTATTTCTGAGGTCAACTAGATTCATTAATCTTATTTAACCTTAGGTGTACATTATAGTAGTAGATATCTAATATAAGTATAACTAAGCGTAGTGATTGCTTTCTTAGAGTAGTAAATAATCTATCTATTTAAGTGAGATGAAATCCAGAGCGTTAAAGCAGTATGTCTGAGGTTAACTATATTGATTCTATTCCATCTTAGGTATACATCCACTATAAAGTAGATATCTTATATACCTAAGCGTATTGATTACTTTCTTATAGTAGTCAATCATGTATGGAATTCAGTATGGTAAATCTATAGCGTTAAGCGGTATGCCTGAGGTTAATTGTATAGAGTCGAATGCACCTTCAGGTACACACTCGTAGTAGTATCCTATATAACGAAGCGTAGTGATTACTTTGTTGGCGAAAGTATTAACAAGTTGTTATAAGTAATCGTATACCGTATAAGATATCAGTACTGTAAGGATAATAGGCAACTTTACTACAAGATATAGTCAGTACGATACTCATATGTAGAAATAGTTGTTCTACAATTACATAAGTATATCTATCTATATATATAAATATATATTATTTGTACTGAATGCGGAAGCATATTGGTATAGTTTTATCGCCGCTGCAGCTCGCTAACCATGCCCCATCATGACTCCAATCGACACACCAGATACGATCTGTATGACCTATTGGATACGAAATCAATACATTCAATAGATTAGTTATAAAAAAAAGTCAATTGTAACCGTGGATTTACATTTCAGTAGCAATCATTTCGCCTCTTGTATCAATGAAATTAAGTCAGTTGGATGAGAAAATGTTGGTGCAAAATAAATTGTAAATTCAACAAGGACACTTGATTTGTGGTCGATTCGTGCCATCTTAAGCTTCACCATATGACTATCAAGTCTGAGTCCATAAGTAATAATGAGTAATACTGTAGTCATAGGCTATCGATGTAGAAATAAGTAGACAACTAATTGTACAAAGATAGCTGGATTAGGCCACATTTACTGGGCCTAGGTGCAGCCTATTTGAACTTGGACCTGTGTCTTGGCTGACGGATGATACACTAGACACCAACGCATTGCATACAACATCATATCATTCATGTGATCCAACACGCCTCTTATTTTACAAGGTAATAACTTAAGAAATATCAGCAACCTTTTAATATTTGAAGCACTTCGATGGTAGAGGCCATACTGACTCGTTGTAACTAATAGATTGAAATTGTAAAGTACTGGATTGAAGGATATTTATTTCTTATTTCTTGCCTTTTGCAGTCACAACTTGACTCATAAGAAGGAGGTAGTCCTGACGATCTGGTACTAGTACGGTATACATTACTACCAATCTACCCATACCAGTGATACCACCCATGGACCACCGGATACACTCTACGGTATACGGTACCATGGACCTGCAGAATCTGGATTGTACACGTCCGTACCACCGTCGTCCGAAGCACATCCGTCAACGGATTTCCTGTACTGTACAGTACAGTATTGTACTGACTACTGACTGCACACTTCAGTGGTTTGACCATTCAAACACGGCCTTCATGGTCTACAGTAGTAGTCCATGTTGTTTCAGTAAATGTGGCATCGATCTAAATCGAATCATAGTACCGTACTTTGGTCCTCTTTGATATAGTCATAGACTTGTGGATACCTTGTGGTCAGTCCATGATACAGTAATCTACGCCAGTCGGACTGATACTTATGAACTACTAAACTCCAATATATTTTAGTAGTCCGTGCATCAAGTGACTTCAAGCCTTGACGCAATATCCACGCCTTGATTCCTGTACTGACAGACAGGCGGACGAGACTTCTTGGAGGAAGTGACGGCAAATCACACTACCCGGTCATCGATGACACTTACTGAGTACTGAGTACCGTTGGCTTGCATGTACAGTACTGTACACTGTACACTGTACAGTACAGTACTGTAAATCAGCGTGGCCTTTTTCTTTCTCTTTTGCACGGTACAGAGTTCAGTACAGAGTCGACTGTACTGTAAAATTGTACTGTACACTGTACACTGTACTGTACTGTACACTGTACAGTACAGTACTGTATCACGAATAGACCTGAGAAAGGTTCGGTTTGGCTCGATACGGTTCAATACCTTTATGATCTACAGTAGTGTACTGTACTGTACTGTACACAGTACCGTATACAGTACAGTATTCACGAATCATACTCTACGGTGTACAGTGCATAGTACTGTACTTGGACTATCAATGAGCAAACTCTTCATTTTGGTCCACCACTGCGCAGACTTCTGAATGTATGGGAGCGTACGTAGCCCTTAGACGAGTGAAAAAGACCTTTTTTTAGTCTTGTTTGAGTAGTCGATCGCGTGACGTAGAACGTACGTGACGCCACTGGTATGATCGAAGTTTTACAGTAGATTGCATCACGTATTCGACACGCAGGGACTGTACAGATTGCCCAAGTAGTAGTGACCTGGCGTATCTGACGCGCACGTTGTACTTCAAGTCCATTCGGTTGTCGATTTTCGCCGGTTGAAGATTCCACAAGGTAAAATTGCTTCGCTCTGTAGATAGTTGTACTAATTGAATTCATCACCTTGGATTAATGATGTTATTGGATCAAGAGAGAGATTGGGATAGCGTTTTCAATTTACTTTTGACTACCCAATCCATACTGACATTGCTTGACTACTGATTTTGGACTGCACTTGTACGCAATCATGTGGACAAGATTGGTATCGAACGTGGTCAATGAACGATGAATGACTGATAATTAACATACGCTTTCCAGAATGCCTTGATTAATGAATTAAAAAAAGTTCAATGTGAAAGGAAGATAGATTACTTATACACAGTCAGTCAAGTTTCAATCAATATGAAATAGTCCTTATTTATATGGGTTGGGTAGATGACTTTCTCCATGACTTGTGTACAACAGTAGCTAGACATGTTTTAGACATTCATCGCAATCGAAATACCAAGTGCAGTTAGTATATCATCGTTTCATCAATATTATTATTATTTATCATTATTAACAATGCAGTCATACTAGTAGAATACTTGATGGTGTAATACAATAAATTAATGATGCATTTGTTAACAAGAAAAAACACTTCATAGCAGATTATGTAGCATACTACTGCATACGTGCAGCTATTTTGATTGAATGACCAATATGGTAGATGAATTCATGCCGCTACATCCATTACCTTACAGTATTAAAATAAGAAATCGATCCTTCCCTAAATGAACATTGATTACTTTATGTACAATTTAGAAGATACTGTAGTCAGTGGATAGACTAAAAGCAATTTCAAGTAACCTCAGTAAGGTATATACCATTATGTACTGCACGTCGATCCATCATGAAGGCAAAAGATGCTATGGTTGAGAAATTTAAAACCTAATGATTGTAAATGACAGTACACTACATCCTATATGTTTTATGTAAATGATGATGATGATAGCCATTGACCAGACTTTGCAAATTTCACCACTGCACAAGGTGCTTGGAAAATATGTTTATATACCAATGTGGTGATACTCTCAATTGATGCGTATCAACATCTAAAAGTAATGTGTTTGATCACATCGAGTTTCTGCAATAGACTGATTCTTCCGTCAATGCAAAATGGCGCTACTGTATTTAGCGTACATAATGCGATTCAGTGCCATTCGACTCTGTAATTGATTTACATACTGTAAATTTAGTACATACGGTGTCGTATCAACTCCTACAGAATGGATACATTGCTACGACATATGTCGTTTGTTATGAGCTGTTGGCGAATTCATAGGATCTCTATTGACTAATCAGAAGTATCTTGTTGTATGCAACAGCATTTCTAGAAATGAGTGTTCCTGATGGTGATCCAACAAAGGGTGCAAAACTTTTCAAGCAACGCTGTTCCCAATGCCACACCACCGAAAAGGTAATTCAATATGCTAGATAATAAAGTGATGAATATGTGGCTTTGCTAAAATGTTACCTTAGTGTTAGTTAATGAGATTGATGACTTCAAATAGTCGTAATGATCATGATTATAAAGTAGTCAATTTTTAAATGTGGATACTGAAGATGATAAAATGAACGTATAGCAACACTATGGATGAAATGCTCACGCAATGACATTATAATCTTTTGCAGGGTGGAAAGCATAAGACTGGACCTAATTTACATGGCTTGATTGGAAGAAAAACGGGTCAAGCACCTGGATTCACTTATACCCCTAGTAATATTAACAAAGGTATGGTTTATTGCATAATAAATGCCTAGATTACAAGTTAGCAAAACAAGACAATATTGATCACTGTATTAATCCTTAATTAATATGTGGAACTTACAAAGGTATCACTTGGGGACCTGATACCCTCTTCCAATATTTGGAAAATCCCAAAAAATACATCCCTGGTCAGTTTATGAAATATTTTGTCGCTAAAGGACTATCCTAATTGTGCATAATCTAAGCGTTCAAACTATAATTTCGGATTGCATTCAATTTAGGAACTAAAATGGTATTTGCTGGCTTGAAGAAAAAGAATGAACGAGCCGGTAAATTGCGATTGTGACAAATACTTATCGTCAACTGATTGATCTTGAGTGTATTTGTTAACAGTAGGTTAAGTGCTGAATTAATCCAACTATTTATATTTACAATTTTTAGATCTAATCGCCTTTTTAAAGGAAGCAACGAAATAGTTATGGATGTGGTAGAGGATGATGTAACTATTATCGCTATTTCCCTGTTATTTCATTCTGTAGTACCGTCGACTATGATGTACTTTAGAATTTTTTAATGGTGAACTTTTCATCGATGCGTACTTATTACATTAGTAGAATCGGTAAATACTTAGCTGCTTAATTAGCCTAACAACTTCATAATTCAGATCAATACCAGAAAGTTTATCAATAAAACTTATTTAATCCAACTAGCTTAATTAGATTAAGTTTCGTGCGTCTCTTTACGTTGCATTTTGTGGTGCAATGTTCAATGACTACATAATTGTTTTCAACTACGAAGAGTTGAAGTATCCGCTTGATGGTTATGCACTTACTGTGGAACTGCGGGAAATCAAATAAGATAATGCGCTTGCTATCAAAACTCATACTGCTAAGAATAGCGTTTTGTGTTCATGAAACGCCAGATTCAAACGTAGCAATAGAAAACTCAGAGAGATGAAGGTTTAACAACAATTTATTGCATTCATAAGCAGTAAACATGAAATAGATAGTTGTAGCAGATACCATAACATCTAACTTCTATATAGGCAATTCTATGTGCTGCCATAATACAATTAAGTATACGCGGTACCCTAATTAATCAAGTACGTGTTCAATATACTGTATGACCTATAACATTTGTATTACAGTACAAACGAAAGTACTGTACTCACACGGCTGTTGGTAATCTCTATGATCTGTAATGCGTCGAAAATCGTACTCAATTTCATGGTTTCTAGAACTTCTGCACGATTCAAGCTCTAGTAACACGTATAGTATTGGTATGGCCGGAACCTGCCTTCCAACCCGTAACAAGAATGACGGGACTACCTTCTTCAAGGATGCCCAGTCGCTTGCCTTCTTCTATAGCAAAGTCTATCCTAGCATCAGTATCGTCAGACCAATTTGATAGACGTTCCTTAGTGTAGATAAGAGGGAATAAACCACGATAAAGATGCAATTGTTTTCCAGCTTGAGGACTGCGCGTAACAGCAATAATCGGTGATCTCGGTCGAAATCGAGAAAGCAACTCAGCAGACCTAAGGTAATATAATGGTAATGAAAGTGTGTTTCATTAGATCGAGGGATAATAATGCTATTATCATTCATATAACCCGAGGTAGTACAAAAATCCTACCGGCCAGTTGTTGTAAGGACGATGATGGCACTAGCACACTGCTTGAACGAGGCATCTACTGCGGCAATAGCACAAGTTTCAGCCGTTATTGTAGGAGTCGGAGTACTTGCACGAAGTTCATCAAATAAAATTCTATGAAATATGGCTGCTTCAGCTTCTAAGCAGACTTTGTGCATGATCTTTACTGCCTCAACTGGGTATGCTCCTTTCGCAGTTTCACCTTCAAAACACGAGTATAGGGTGTAAGCAATAAGACTATGATAAAAGCTATATCAGTTGTTGTCAGTTTATTCTGAATATATGCGTATAAAAGACAAATGATATTGCAATAATTACTTCAGCAAAGAAATAATGTACGGGTAATATTGGCAATAATGGAGATAGTACAACTTACCAGACAACATTACGCAGTCTGCACCATCTAGCACAGCGTTGGCTACATCAGATACTTCTGCTCTAGTAGGCCGTGGCTTTGATATCATACTCTCTAACATCTATCAAAAAGTGAAAAAAATTGTTACAAAAGGACTTAAATCAGTATCCATCTTATATTAGTAAAATGAAACAATCCTATTTATACTAGAATATATCTCAACCTGGGTTGCACAAATGACTGGTTTTCCAATTCTATTACACCGTCCGATCATCATTTTCTGAGCAATGATTACTTTTTCTGGAGGTATTTCAATTCCAAGGTCACCTCGTGCTACCATAATACCATCACTTGCAGTGATAATGTCATCAATATTGCTAACGCCTTCATGATTTTCAATTTTTGAAATGATTCGAACTCTATCACCATATTCACCCATAGCAGCCCTTACAGCACGAACATCTGCTCCTTTACGGATAAAGGATGCAAAAACCATATCAACCTGAACATACAAAAATTTATCATTTACTTTAACAGCAATTGATTAAGTTATTAGGCCTGAGCTCTTTCATCACTATATACAAATAACTAATAATGAGCTAACATTATTAACGTTACATAACCTCCATTTCTACGCCAAATCGTAAATCATTTTTGTCTCGCTCGGAAACAGCTGGCAAGTCAACTATAGCATTAGGCAAATTAACTCCTTTGTGACTTCCAAGAGAGCCACCATTTTCAATTTTAGTCATGACAAAATCAGGTCCAATTTCCGTAACTAATATTATGAGAATGGAAATCAGGCTAAAGGTATTATGGTATTACCGTTATAAATATAGTACGAATTGATAGAGAGAGATAGGTAAGAAAATATCAGATACAAGCTACAAAGGCTAACCCAACAAAGAAATAAGCCCATCGTCTATGTAAATTTTGCTGCCAAGAGATAGCACTTTGGTTAAATTTTTGTAATCAACATAAGTGCCTGCAGTACTTCCATTTTTATAATCGCTTTCACTTAAACTAAGTTTGAAGGCATTTCCAGTTTTCAATTCGACTTCTCCTGTACCGCTCTATTACATGACGAATCAATGTAACAAGAATGTAATGAAACTCATTCAACATTGCATATCATTTTTAATTACCTGTATCTATGCCTATGTTTTACAAATTGAGTCGATATTGATACAGGGACTCAGTAAATACGATTCTGTTGAGGTTATACAGCATATACAGTACAGGAGTAAACGATGAATGTAATAAACTTACGCCAGCAATTAAACCAGTGCGAATTTCCGGACCCTTAGTATCAAGAGCAATTGCAACAGTACGAAACAATGGACTACGCCTTATTGCTTCTCTGATATTATTGATAGTTTCTCTATGGTAATCATGAGTTCCATGGGAAAAATTTAGTCGAGCTATATTCATACCATTTCTTATCAACTGAACTAATTTGTCAACAGTGCGTGATGCCGGTCCTACAGGCAATACAAATAAGGAAAACTTCTGTATATAAAAACTCGCCAGATTAACTCGTAGATCTCACGTATTCTTAATCTTACCAATAGTACAGATGATGCCAGTATTTCTAGTCATGCGAGGGTAGCTGTCGATATCTAGCAAGCATACATGGTCCAATGAAGAAGACGCCTGTGCTGCTGGTGCCTGATCATCTTGATGCGATAATTCGCTCAATTTACGCCCAATAAATGGTTCTTCGAGTACTTGCATTCTGATCGATGTCTAACGCTGTTAATTTGTCGAAAATCAAGTTATTTAGTTTTTATTGGTTTAAGTCAATTCACTTTCGATTAAGTATTGATCAAGAACCTGTCGCGTTTAGTAGTTGAACGTAAACGATGAGCGTAAATTAAAATTTAAAAATATTTTAGTTGGCTGTAAAGAAAAATACTGTATTATTCTTTTAGACACTAATCTATCGTTTTATAACATCAGCTAAATCTTATCGCAGGAATTTTACATTATATCAATTTTTAGTATCGTCACATTTAGCTAACATTTGTAATCTATATTAATGTTTTAAATTTAATTTCATTTATTTCTTGTTTATGACATACGAGTATTGGCGTTTATGTAAGCACTTTTAAAATCTCGAGTGCGTACTATACTTGTGACTTGTCACACCTGACTGCCTCATTGTACAGTGTTCAGTACCGTATTGTTAGAGACTTTCTAAGGGAAACCTAAGCATTAGGCCCGTTCATAATAACCCCGATTACTCAAGATACTCAGCGTGAATAGCTTCAACGATGATACATTATTCTAGGAGTCTCCTAGCCCGTTCATAATAACCCTGAGTAGCTGAGTAATCGGGGTTATTATGAACGGGCCTGCTAAGCATTGTCATCTTAGAAGTCGATGCTTAGTCAGGTTTAGCCTAATGCTTGAACGCGCTACAGTGGTAGAAGTTAAATGCACTTTGTAAAAACTCTTTCATTTCCATAAATACTACAAGCGAGATTTCATCATCAAATGGTATCTAATACGATTACAAAGGAGAGACACGACTGGTAATTAATTAAGCAAACTTGAAATGCCCGCCGGTGTTATAACTTATATAAGCTATTTTAAATAGAATTTCTAATAGTTCTATACGCGTACATAAAGAAATTGAAGTTACCACCAGCACAACAATGGTTTATACGATATTGTTGAAGGCCAATACGAATATTCTACTATACATACTCCAACGTACGCTGTTAACGCTATTGATTATCATACTTTATTACACTGGGAAAAGATCGGGGCAGTGTGGTATGGTATATGTACTGTAGACTTGAATGCGGTACATTTGGACAATTTTGGGACCTTATGTTATAGTAGAATAAATAAAATAAATGACAGATTGTGAAAGCGTGATATATACATGTATATACGTACAGTAGTGTAGTGATGGAGGAATGATAGATAGGTCGACATTCTGTGTGAAAGCACTTTTACATCTACTGTATTGGTAACAATCGCTTGCAGCCATCACCTCGATACGAATATTTTCATGAATAAAGTATACTGTATATACATGTTTTATACATACCATCAAAAACGGTAGCTGCTACCGATATGATTGAAAGCAATATATCCAAAAGTATAGATAGAAATGAGTTCAAATTCGCAGTCGGCGTACAGTATTAGCCGATAACTATCAATTACACTATTTGGAGTGTTCCATTTTTGGGGTACTGTTTACTCTTTGATAACGTAAAGTACTTGAATATTAATTAATTATTGTGGCAATGCGCTGCCGCTACGACACTGTAAATACTGTACTGTACTATGCGTATCTGTACAGTATACAGTAGGTAGACTTAGCGATCATGCCGGACATGCTTTCATAATATTCTCAACAGAAATGTCCTATGAAATGAAGTTAATCATAATGTCTAATGTTACTGAAAGGAAATACTGTACTGTACGCGTATAATATAAAATCAAGTCTGCGGTGCCAAGTTAAAATGTCAAGCAATATTATTCGAATATCCAGTACGTACAGTACAGTATGCATGATTGCCTTCCCTATCATGTGTAATACTGTAGGTGTAAATTATAATGTCTACTGAGTGCTGCAATTTTTACTAATTCAGTTAAATTACTAATAAGGATACTGAAGGTGTAAAATGCAAAATTGATTATTTTGCAAGCTTTCAAAGCGTCCAGGCTATTCTTGCAATGCATTTGACTACATCGTAGGATTGATTTTTCTCCCGCTGGCGATACGTTTAATGAAATTATTTAATTAATGCGGTACAGAACATACTATACGAGTACAAGCGTACGCATCTGTTCTGTATGTAAAGAGCTGATGAACGATTCTCTCCAGCAAGCTTCTATGGAAATAGCCGGTGGTACTGCAACAATGAAACTTCTGACTAAGATACTGTCCGTATACATGGATTCAATATTAACTACATATACCATAGGCTCGACATGATTGCCCTTTACTCCAAGTCTTTGGCTACTGATAGCACAGATAGAAATATACGAGTACACTACTGTACAGTGATATTAGCAAGAAGAGGGATGGACAACGAGTCTGGAGATTAAGCTTGCGGTTACGTAACAAAAACCATCACCTTAGCACAAGCTAAGGTGATGGAAAATACGGATATAACTATAATGAATGGAATAAGTAATTGAACAAGCAGATTAATCAACTCATGCAATTGCATGAATACTTGAAATTAGGTCCTTCCCAACTTTGTTACGTTGTATCAGTGTTAAGTCAAAAAATTTGAACGACCGAAATGTAGTGTTCACAGCAGGTCTGCTTGAATTCTTCAACAACATTGTGGTACGTGACACCAAAAAGTAGCTATGGTTGCAGTTGAATTTTTTTTTTTGCAAGCCTGTGCATTTCTAGTACAGTCTGCCGATGTCGAGAATGTGCCTTGGGTCAAGTGTAAGGTATGATTGATCCTATTTCAAGATGGCTTACCTATCGCTGAGATGGTGGAAGGTGGGTGATTTTCAAGGAGGAATGGAGTAGGTACAAGATTTCCTGACTGCCAATTGAAGCGAATAACATCGACTTTTATGGCGGTATAGTACTGCTTACTGCGGAACTGTACTTACTGTAGGTCTTACTGAAAAGAGCATTTAGGTGCTGTTGCATCAACAGTGTGGAACAAAGGTACGGTGACTACTTGCCCAGTGTCACTTCTTGGACGGCTGAGCTACAGTGCGATTGATACAGTACAGTACAGTATGTACTGTACACTGTACACAGTACGGGATTTTGACAAAATTGAAAGCCCCTGTACTTACTTACTGTAAAAGGGCATGAATCTACTACTACAGAGTGCTTAAAAACTCGATGATTACCCCAGTATACACAATACACATATCATACACTTCTTCAACTACTCAACCATTCATTAAAGTGCCCTGTCTAAAAGGGCATGAGTCTACTACTACAGAGTGCTTAAAAACTCGATGATTACCCCAGTATACACAATACACATATCATACACTTCTTCAACTACTCAACCATTCGTTAAAGTACCCTGTCTAAAAGGACATCAACCCTAACTAGAAAGAAATGATGCCATCTTGACCACATTTCATACGGAATAACAGGGCTAGCTTACAGTGTGAATTGACGATGAATGAAACGATAGACTGTCGGTCTAGTCTTGCCAGCCAAGAGCTGTAATAACGGTACTCAGATGGCGGTAATACCACTAAGTGCTACACCAGTCACTTGTACGCGGAGTCACTCTGCCTACGACACAGTAGCAGACATTGTGACTCGTAGCGCAGTCGTGCGTAGTGTCGCTTCACCACAAAATGAATGTCATTCGACTGCTGTTACGCTACCGTCAATGTCTTACTATTGTCATTCGACACGATCAACACCGACTCAGCACTCAGCAGTCAACACCGGACTGTACAGTGTACAGTGTAGAGTACTGTAGTGGACAGTGACCTCATAGCTTCACACCACTACTATATAAAGTGAAGCTACGCCACACAAAGACAACGTCAGTGCCCAGTCGACAAATTTGACAGAAAATCACCGAGCAGCAAGACGCAGAAAAAATGGATTCAAAGAACCAATTTCGCTTAAGTGCAGTCCTCTCTGGCCACGAATCGGATATACGTTCTATTTGTCAATCACCTCAAGCGGGTGTTATTACAGCATCCAGAGATAAATTAGCCAAATTATGGTATCCTGATCAACAGGGAATTTATCACCAGTCAATGACCTACGTTGGACATCAAGACTACATCAATTCGATGTGCGTCATGCCACCTAGTAGCGATTATCCTGATGGTAAGATTGAAATTGGACGATGATTCCATCCATAACCTCTCTGCTTAGGATAAATAGTAGCTAGTTTAAGCTCAGAAGTAGCATTTAATGGATTCATTATGACAGTTGTTGGTCGTAAATGACGCTAAATAGATCTAGGCTTGATGGGCAAAGCCTTGTGTCATTTCCACGAGCTGCCACAATCGTTTTGAAACATCAATTACACTAGGGTCGACATACAGTATCCAACTCACGCAATAGACAGTAGTATCACGTAGTAGCCAAGAACTAAATGGAGACGATAGTCGTTACAGGAACCTAACTTGCCCCTCGTACAGTTACTACAACAAATTGTACTATTGAATTGTTCTGTTATAAATATCATCCCATGGATACAATCGTAGCGTAAGGGAGAAGCCATCGTTGACCTAATTTCAACAGTTTGCGATGATTTCTTAGTTCTATTTCTGATTGACTTCAAACTCATTCAAAGGTAGTGTAGCGTTGTATAACGTTCTCATGAAAGATAGACAGAATGAGGAGTGAAAGCTTTTCACTGAGATCATGACTTATTGATAATCATAATTTCTCAATATTGTACTGTAATAATCCAATACAATAAATTCAATTCATGACAAATAACCAATATCAAAAAGCCAATGTCTACAATCATAGCATCTATGACGGTATGCTTAGCATTGATTGACATTGCAAAGGGACCTAGAATACCAAGTTCAATAGAATACAGCATACGAGGACTCATATGTAGCGCACTAGATGCAATTTATGCAGAAATCATGATCAACAGGCATCACTGTTGATGTGAATAGTTAACTTACAGTAGAATGAAATATTTAGAATTGTTGTGGTAGAGGACATGCAATTAATTTCAACACTTTATTTACTGTAAATCGTTCTAAACACAAACTATTGTAGGAGTAGCAATATCCATGTTGATCCAAAACGATCGCTATAGCAAATGCAATAGTAGTGTTCACAGCTTTACTTTTTCATCCTAGCATAATAATCGTTACTCGATTGGATGAATAAACTCTTACTCTATGCTGTAAAGTATACAGTATCGTATAGGAACAGTTCAAGTTACTCGGTAGACAAAGCGCTAATGTCAATAATGATCATTTAATATGTATTACCTGGGGCAGATATTCAAATTCAAAGATGACTGTCATTCGTGCAGATATTAGATGAATTAGAACTATACAAAACGTTTTGACTTTGTAATGCAAGAAAGTAAATTACTGTAGATAGCACGCACCAGTACAGTATATATCTTCAACTCGTACTAGTGCCATTGCTACCTAATTCCGCGATTAAACGATCACGCTCATATTTCACTGCTAGCTGATAGTACCGTTTCCTAATTATGCAGTCGATTCTTCAATACGTTAGGCTTATGATGACTTTTGAATTCTTCTATTTCGTTCGATGGAGTAATCCACCAAGCAGAAATTACTAATCACTGATGTCATTGGAGCTTTATCGCCGTTGAATTACTTTCTTTTGATTGCATAAACAGTTGTACAGAAGGATGCCATTCTTACAATTTATGGGAAGATTATAAACACTTAATTTTAATTAGTAACTGAATTGTGCACTTATTTATATACGCATGCACATTGCACACACCACGAGCGTAATACTGCAACAATATCTCCTTAAATGAGTAAAATACTGTATTTTGCATCCATTATGTGCATACATTTGTTGCTATAAAAATAAAACAATCGATTGTAAATGACTACAGGCAAATTGTTACTACGTAATTACGTACTGACATCATCATGGTATCACTTAAATATTGCTAAATTAAAATAATATATTGATAAATCGTACATTACTATAGATCCAAATTGCATAAAGCAATTAATCTTAAATTCAAATAAATTTATGTTACAAAAGTTAATAGCTAAATACTAACTTAAACTGCTTACGAATTATTTCTATGCAATATTGTTCCCATATCATTATAGAATCATAAAAAAAGTTAGGTTACAAAGATTCTGTATTGACATATGAAAAACCACAGATCAAGAACATTTACCTTAAGAGTAATTCAATTTAAGTTGATCCATAGAAGTTATTAATACGTAGATACGGGTATTCAATGACTGACAGCAAATTGTTAGTATGTAATTTCATTCTCATGCCATCATAGTATTATTGTATTATTGAAATATTGGATGTATAACACATAAAAGATTCTTAATAAAAAGTAGATTAAAATCGTCCAGCATCATTTCAATTAAGTTAGTCTGTAAAAGTAAAGATACTAACAGCAAAGTGAATAATTAGTGTGCAATCTTTCGTCCTCATATCATGATAACACAGTATCGCTTGAAACTTGGTACAGTATATAAAGTGATTTGATATGCTAGTAAAACTAATCGAATAATACACAAGACTGGTTCAATTATATACTGTATATAGAATGTAATCGACAAAGTTAATGATTAAATACGAATGCAACATGACATATAATACTGTGCTCTTCTAAAACCTGCATATTTTTAACTTACACAAGTATCGTAATGATTATTTTCCGGAATAGGAGTTATCTTTACTGGTGGACATGACAATCTAATTCTTGGATTTTTACCAAATAAAACAGGTGTCGATTGATTGATCATTCAATTAATTTATAGTCAATTATGCAATCGTTTTTAGTAGCAATTGATAAATATCGTCGTAGCTAATTTATTTCTGTTTGTAAGCAGATATCAATCATAATATTTCTACCGTTGTTTTGTACATGTAATAACTTTATCTAAAACTACCGTGCAATGATAGTACAAGCATAGAATTAGTACTGTTTAAGTGTTCCTTTCGATGCAAGAATTTAATAATTAATAGTTATAGTTTAGTATAGAAATTAGCTATAGGTGGAATAGATTCCAATAAAATAATTACGCATTAAAGATTTAGTCTTATTAATAATTGATTTTGACTGTGCGAAATTTTTTATCGATTAATTGTATGTATCAATCGTATTGCTTTATGATTAATTAATATCAGAACCTGAACTACGACTAGAAGGTCATTCTAACGTAATCTCGGCTCTATCTCCGGGTAAATTTGGCACCTTGCTGTCTGGCTCTTGGGATGGGTATTACATAAAATTGCTCTTAGATAACTTAATATGATGATTGGTATAGAATTAGGCTTACTTAGCTAGCCTAAAACTAGTAAATAAAATCAACATTGCTATCCTAAATTTACAATTATAGTATGGTGTAACGATAAATTTTAAGATTTAAGCATGAATTAAAAATTTATAGAACAGCACGAGTTTGGTTGAAATCTAAATCAGTAATGGTCCTCCAAGAACACGAAGGAAGTGTCTTAGCTGTTAGCTTTATGTCTAGTCAAGGAATTATGATTACAGGTAAGGGTAACGTCCTTGTAGGACTAGTTTTATAACTGTTCTGTACTACAATTTTAGCTCGTAAACCGTCTTGATAGGTAAATATATTTAATTTTACAACTACTGTATGCTTTATACTTTGTGCCACTTGAATACATGTTTAAATAAAAATATCTAGTTCATGATTTACTACCTCTATCATTGATTGGTCCTGTCACGTAATGGCATTTCTATCGCATGTTACAGGTTCGTCAGATAAGAGTATTAAAGTCTGGAGAGGTGGAAATTGTGAACGTACCTTAACTGGGCACACAGATTGTGTTCGCGCACTTTGTGTCTGTTCTGATGTTGATATTTTATCGTGTGGCAACGATTGGTATGTTGCAAAATATTGATTTATAAGGGTATTACGATTTATCTATTCTCGTAAAAGTTATGCAACTACTTTTACTCAACTTGTAGCACAATTCGAAAATGGAATGTATTAACTGGACAGTGTCAACAAACTTTCCATGGTCACAGTAGTTTTATCTATGGGTACGGTGAATGACTGATATGTCTTACTATAACGATTGTTATAGCAATGGCCCTTTGTCATAGTAGTAATTTATTTGCTCTATATTCACAGAATTTGTATGTATCCTGGTAAAACAGTAGACTTTGTTTCATGCGGTGAAGATAGATCTCTCCGAATGTGGAAAGGTAAAGAATAGCATGTATTTTACTGCAATCTTTTTATAGGTGGTGCGTTAAAAAGACTGATTTATTTACTGTTGCGGTTCAGATGATAAACTAATCCAAACAATCACGCACCCTGCCCAATCTGTTTGGACTGTATCATGTTTAAGTAATGGAGATATCATAACTGGAACAAGGTGAGCTATCGTCAATATGATAGCTGACTACGAGTTATAAATACAGCAGTGCATTGATATGTACATCGACTATGAAAGTTTAGACTTTATAATGCGAGGTAGTAATGAAATCATTAATAATTCTTTTGTAAATATCTGTTCAGTGATGGATTAGCTAGGATTTTTACAATGGACGTAACACGATTAGCGTCAGATGAACAATTGAAAGTGAGTTTATTGTTGCTGAATTTCAGGGTATAATTGTAATCTTAAGATATGCACAGTAGCTTTAACATCATTTCTTTATTGTTTTAATGATGAAATAAGAATTTTTCTAAGCAAGAAGCATTGTTCACAATCAACGCCTCAAAGTAAGTAATTTGAAATACAGTATTACCTACTAAATCTAGCAATATTGCTTTATTGCATCTAAATTAGATATTCAGTTAACAATTTTACTATTATTTATCATGTGCTACAAATTGAAAGTGTGTTGTTTATAATATTTCAATATTCTCATTGTAGTCCAAAAGGAAAAAATGTAAACATTAGCGAATTGCCAGGCATTGAAGCGATAGGAATCCCTGGTTAGCCAGCAAAATCGATAATACATTCCTATATTGCAAAGATCCCAAAGTGCTAATTACAGTAACTTGAATTAGAATTTTAAATTTTGGCTTAATTTTATTTTTTAGGCAAAAAGGATGGTCAAGTTAAAATGTTTCGTAACGGTGATGTCGCTGAAGCTTATCAAGTATTGTACTATCTCTAATATTATCATTTATAATTATAATTAATATAGCACTCATAATATTTACATAGCATTGAAGCCGTTCTACTCGTAATGTATGATTGACATAAATTCAACTTCTTTTTTACCGGTATCTCATTTACTGTTTAGTGGAGCGCCGATTCTCAGCTTTGGGAAAGGGTAAATAAGATTACAAGTTTTATCTTCCAGTTGTGCTGTAATTGATCCACTTGACCCACACTATGCCTATTATTTTCCAATGTAACTCTTATCAGGTTGGCGAAGTTCTAAGCTCATCTAATAAAGAAACATATGAAGGAAAGGTATGTGTAATTGACTCAAACCGTTGCTGTATATATTCAGTAGAAATACTATAAAATTGAGGCGTCCTGAGAACTTACTCTTATACTTACGTATAAAGGAATACGACCACGTATTCTCTGTAGATGTTGAAGAAGGAAAACCGCACAAGAAGTTACCGTATAATTTATCTGGTAACATATCAAATTATACGTTACTATATGATGTCATTATAATAAATCTACGTTTTTTTGGATGTCTTCTGATATTGCTTGATTATGGACAACTGTAGAGGATCCATGGTACGCCGCTCAGAGATTTATTGACAAAGAAAGTCTCCCACAGGTGTATTTAGACCAGGTACGTATTTTGCACAAATTCAGTAGTTATGATTAAATATTATCAATGCATTTTTAAGATAATAGAATAATAATTGCCAGGCCATAATTTTGTGTTGCGTAATCTACAGGTAGCGAAATTCATAATCGATAACACAAAAGGTCAAGCATTAGCTTCAAGTGTACCGACCAGCAATGAATACAGTGATCCTTTTACAGGTTCGTACGATGGTACTGTAGTACATAATTCAATGTAAAGAAATTCAAAAATTTAAAAGCGAATACCACATATATTTTTCGTTTTCTTTAAATAAAGGTGGATCTCGCTATGTTCCTGGGCGTCAAATCGAGCAGTCCTCTAATGCTGCTTCCGATCCCTTCACAGGTATTACTATAAGAAATCATGTTAGCGATTCTGAAATATGAGCTGTTCTTCCAAGTTATCAATATTTAACTATAGCGTTGTATTATTATAGGTACTTCACGATATATTCCCGGACAACAATCAAATCAAGATGCAGGCAGTGGATCTGATCCTTTTACAGGTAACAGGCCAGTAGTCGTGAATAGATTTTTTACACAGTTAGTGGAATACGCAAATAATATCAGTTTGAAATTTTATTCTATGTAATACCATCATTTTACTGGAAAGAAACTTTTCTGACATTATCAACTATTTGCATAATATGGTTATCTAACGTAATATCTTTTCTTATTCTTCAATATATCAATGAATGAATATTTGGCACCTTCTGCTGTTTAGGCGAAAATCGTTATGTACCAAATCAATCACGTTCGGTTAGATTGCACCGTATATATTACGCTAGCAATTAAATACTTACGTTTAGTTTTGATTATATGTTGTGCTACATCTGGTATGGTATCTTAACGTCGACATGCTATATGTTGCTAATATGTCTTTTACGATTCTGGTTAATATTAATTCTAGCAGGTAAAGCCGAACAGTACTGTATTTAAATATTTTCCCAAGGTATATTAAGATAGTTTCATTCATGGCTTTTTACTGCCTTTGTAACAACAATTGCAATTAGGAATATGTAGAGTATGATCACTTATATTTTCCATCCGTTTTATGCTAATCTAGACGTCACATCTACTCTTTGATGGTATAAACGTTACTGGCCTTTTAAGTAAATTAAACTCTTTCAATGCTTCGGTACCTGCGGTAAGTGAATCAGTCAAACAATTACTTGATTCCACAGAACCCAATAATATAGTACCGGTAGCAAGAGTTATGATGCATATTGCCTATATGTATTTTGTATCATTTTGCTTACTGATATATACAAAATGTAACACAATCCCCTCTAATACCGTTAGAATCATCAGTTAACGAATGAACAATTATTGCAGCTTACAGGTAACTGTAAATCCAAACCTAACTTTTCAATTAGTTATTAATATACCTCCTATCTATACAATACAATGGCAGAGAGTGTAAATTTTGCCTGCAGACCTGAAAACTATAATCAGCGGCAATTGGATATAAAAGAGCTGGATATTCTAGCAAAAGTGCTAGACTGGCCGGAAGATTTCGTGTTTCCAGGTATCCTTAGTCTTACGATATTTATTTAAAATGAATTCTATTCATGATCATGAAATTATTCTAGCGTCTGTTATTGGCCAGAAAATGTCTGAACAAATTTCTTGTATACAAACCATTTGATTATACCTTAGGACTTGATATCTTGAGACTATATATTCGTCATCCACAAGTCAATACATACTTCACAGCGACAGATAGGGGTGCAGATTTTATTACTTCCTTATTACATTTTCTAAGGTAGGCTATCACGTTTCTTAAAGTTACTATAAATGTTATTGATTAATTTTGTTAAAGCAGGCAATTTGTTACTTTTAATCAGTTTTAACCGTATAATAATCCAGATTTCGCATGTTGCTAATAATCTTCTACTTATGTTGTGCCCAGAGATTCATCCAAGATTAATAACTGCTTATTGGCATTGCGAGTTTTGGCTAATGTTTTTAGCAATCCATCTGGTGCTAATTTGATGGTAATTTGCTGCGACGATGTAAGCATATTTTGATACAACTAATAACTTTCTAGGTCTAAACTACACGAAAATTATTGCCGTACTAAAGTTTATAAGCTCGTATACATTTATTGCTTTATACTTTAAATGTTTATAGATTTTGAAAGGGCTTGTCGACCTACATAGTAGTGACAATAAGAACGTCAGAATTGCCATATCTACAATTTTATTAAAGTAAGAACCTAATTCCCTAGGAAAAGTCAATATCCGATTCGTATTCAAGTTAAGAATACTATATTTTTTGTGAATCATTTAGCTACGGCGTTAGCTTACAAGGCCTACAAGAACCGGACGCGAAATCAGTTTGCTTGAATTTATTATCTTTGGTAATCTTTTGAATTACTTGGATCAACAGAAGCTAACAATTTGACTCACTTGTTCAATAGAACTTGCTTTTTACTTGTCCTTATTATCTAAATAGATACTGGCTACTGAAGTTCAACCAGAATCCGTATTTCGAGCTATGGTAGCTACTGGAACAATAGTAAGATAGCTGGCTTGATGTTGATAGTCTGTAGATAAATATATTTGTAAATATTGCAGTGAAAATTTCCATCGCTATGCAGTGGTGTAAAAAAAGATTGTGTAACACTAAAATTTTTTCTTGGATTGTAATGATTAGTGTTTCAATAATATCGAAATGACCCAGCTAGCGCGAACTTTAGGATTTGATGACTATTTTATAAGACTAAGTAAAACTTCAGAGCCAGAAAAGGTTAGCACTTTTGCTACTTGTTTTGTGTACAAAATAATGACTTCATAATCACGATCAATTTTACTACGAATTTTTATAGATTGGAGAGTGTGCGTCACAACTGTTGCAGATTGTTCAATAATGTAAAAACTTTAATATCCGTTGCTACATGTTTGCAAAACCGATCTACTATATTTAAATACGAGTTTTATATGATCTTGATATTAATTAAAGTCGAAGATTTCTTGAGCCTATAACAGTTTAAATTGTAGAACAGGTATTATCTGTAAAATCGTGATGGTTTGTTATTTAACTAGTGAAAGATGATAAAAGAGGTAAATACTCGTATGGTAAATTAATTGCCAAGAATTTTAAATATACGATAAGGGGTTGATGTTCTATGATGTTTTGTGTATTAAAACTACGAAACATCAATCCTTTCGTACAAAATGTATTCGCGATTATTGATGAAATTAATCTCGCTCGAAATCTTGACTAAAACAATGGCTTTAAGATTTAGTATTGATTATTCAAGTACAAGATCTTTGTTGATTACTGAAAGTAAATTCATGTAATAAAACTATTTCAAACCTGAAGACATGTTAATAATTTATTGTGATTTGAGCCAACAATTTTATCTAATGCATGCTCACATAACACGAAATACGCACACATAATTAATTATAACACTGGCATACTCTACTATATTTTCATATTAGTTCAATTTTATTTTGCAGCCTTCGCATATATCTGAATTTCTGAGGGAAAATATGACATAAAACGTACTTCAAGATAGAGAATATTTATGCTAGTAGATTACAAGCAACTTAAAACTTTTTTCGATTCATCATACACGCAATGTATTTTATAACTTGCATTTTAAATGCTTTTCTTAGCTGATATTCATTTAATTTAATACCGTTACCACATTTAACCCCAGCAAAAACAGAAACGTATGTGATTAAGAATGTGGTTGCAGATTCAACGTATGAATCGATACTTTTTAAGTTATCAAATATAAGTATGGAGGAAAAATAGATCATTGATATAATAACTAGTAGTATAATATGTAAAATCAAATGCGACACGTTATAATAACAGCCTGGATATAATTTTACGATTTTTTCATGTAGTTTTACGGGAACGGCAACAATACCGTATGATAAATTATAGTACGCGATTCCTAGCCATGAAGCGATGAAATCTTCCATCTCCTTATTTGCATTATAATCATGTACAGTTTTCATTAATTGATTAATCGATATGGATTTACATAAACTGCCATTCTTTATAGAGATAGTATTATCGATGGTTGACTTTAAATTGCATAATATATCAAGCTTGAATTCTGATGCTTCCAAATCAGCCATGTTTTTCGTAGGTGTTATCCGCATGTAGAAGCATGCATGCTTCTCTAGTAATAGGAAAGAATGCAACGATTCAGGGATTTCAATATTATCTATTATCAATCTGATCATCACATTCGTTAATGATTTTGGCACTTTTACATCATTTGCCTTGGGTAATGCATCACAGATTTGAAACTTTAAGATAGCTTTGGTGAAAAAGCGACTATCACACAATAGCTCACTTTGTAATTCCTGTCTAATTTCATGCAATACTTTAACGATTGTTAGTCTATCATCAAAGTAAGTTGTAAGCTGGCAGTAAATGAAGTATACTATAACAATTATAATTGCGATGTAAGGAAGAAAGAATTTTATATAGGGTAAAATAATAGCAGTTGTGGTAATCATATGGGCAATGATGATTGAAAAGAAAAATGGCGTGACAAAGCTAAAGGTTATGATAAAGGCTATGATCAAAGATGAAATACTTTTGCCATACCTTGCTAAAGTAGGTTGAATTAGACGTATAAGCTGAAACGGAAAGGTAGCAAACAAGAAATGGCCAAATAGAAATGATATTGTCGATAAGAGTAATTTAAGTATTATCTTGAAAACTTTACTTTTGTGTAGACAATCTTGAATTGAGTCATTTAATTTGGCTAACAGTACCTGCCAATATGTTTGCTGTGTTCTTAAAATAAGACACCACCGATTACATGGCGATATTTGACGTTGTTGACAATACTCTGGCTGTGATATACATGATATTGAAGTTTTAATTGATTCTTTTTTCCTTTTATTAACTAGATAAACCCAGCGATGTATAGAATACCATGAATTTCCTTCATAATTTCTTAGCCAGTTATTAATAAAAGTGATTTGATCAGTCGTTAACCTTAGCCAGTTAGTTAATACTATGCAACCTCCGATAGAAAGACATCCAAGGAGACAAAATGGTAAGGCAAGGTTAATTGAATAAGGATTCATAATAGATTGTATACAAATAGACATGTAAGGAATGGATAGTATAATATATGTTAAGCAACGAGACCACCGATAATGCTTTAAGACATCAGAGTAAAATAATCGAATTTGATAACTTGGCGTTTCTTTCTCGTATGAGGATATTGCTCTTAACTTTTTGCCATGCTTTTCCCTTTAATTAATGTAAACAATAACAAGGCTTAATCCTTTTATGATTTGACAGATTTAGTACTATATTTGAAATTATATTGGTAAGAGATAATTGTCGATTGGAAATTTACGTTAGATGCAGAAATATTTCTATGTTTGACTGATTAACTTTATTATTGGCTATTGGCTGTGAGTCACTGCCCTACTCGATGCCATTGCTAGTGACAACGATCAGTGGGTTGTTTTATTCTCAGTTTTGTTCACGTCAGCAACTGCATGCAAATGGACTAAGCCCTATGGACATTTTAACACCTAGACTTTATATGGTATGCCGCTATTAATTACTGCTCATGATGACTGAACAATTCTATATTGCAAAATAAGAATCTAAATGTGCCCGTAAAGCTTTATGTGTTAATTAATGCTGATTAATTATGAATTAGATTCTCATTGGCATAAATTATACTAGTAATAGATTTAAATTGCAAGTATGTCTACCTTGCTACAAGGGAAGCTTTTAATCTATTCCATCTATTACAATAAGCACTATACGATGTATGTCAGCCTACTCATATTTTAAGTTATATCAACACATCCTGATCCTGCATAAACTGTTAACTTAATTTTATACCTGATAATTGGAGATGATATATCCGAATAAAAGAGTTGCAAGAAAACGCGCATAAAGTGCATTCCAGTTGTTAAACAAATCAAATAATATAAGGAAAAAAATCGATTGCTACTACTTGAATGAAATTTCTTTTCTTCCCAAATCAATTTATTACCATTGCGGCAGCATTTTAGGCACTGATAGCATTTCTGTTGACGATCGATAATGCATATCGTTGATGTTAGTAAATCAGTTTGTGTTATATTTAAGAGTACTTTGATGGAATATGGTGTAAAGCGGCATTGCTTATCATCTTGATATGTACGATAGGAAATATTGCCATTCGTCAATTGGATTGTGTATTGAAATAATTGGAGTAACCTCATGGAGAATATTTCAAATTCGTCATTTAAAATTAGTATTGTACCACTACGACTATTTGATTTAATCCTTGTCCATGCAATGGCGCATCGTTTATCGGTGTTATTCAAGGTTTGATTCGATTGGAAATATACCACTTGTATATTACTAATCCTTTCGATTTTCGTAAAACTATGTCGATCCACTTCAAGTTCATGTTGGACCATGGTTATGCCATGGCTAATATTAATTTGGTTAACAAATACTATCACCATGATGATTGCGGATGAAAGTAGATAATCCATAGTTTATCGTCCTATTCAATACGTGGTTGGATGAAATTCGCCCAATTTAGCGTTAAAGCAGCTGGACTATGATTAGCAATCAAGAATATT